ATTGCTTTTTTTGTACCTTTTCTGTGTCAATAAGATAAATCAGATTTATTTATTTTTTTAATATAACAAATATTATGCTAAAGATTTTTTTATTAATAAAAATTACTATATATTGCTAATTAACAGAGAAATACCAGAAATCTCTGACAAAATAATTTCAAATGAGATACAAAAGATTTGGTCAATGGTTCCACAGATTATCGGACGAGTATTGGAAAACATGTTAAATACGGACATTCAAGAGTTGAGACCAAACTTAGAGGAAATGTTAAACTATTTTTTTCGTCAATGCAATCTATACTACGGCCGTATGTATGTATTAACTTATAGACTGCTAACAAATGGTACGGATGATCAACAATCAGCTGATACAGACATAGATGATAACGAACCTCTCTATGCAATGGCAATGGCAGCTGAACTGGTAGTAATCAATATGATTCTATTGGATGATATTATGGACAAATCTACACTAAGATATGGTACACCCTGTTGGCATACATTGGTAATTAAAAAACATATTTTTTATATTTTTGATACTTATAATTACTAATAATAATATAATTAGGTTATAATTATAAATCTTAATGTTTTTTTACACTATTATATTTAAATAGATAATTAATAATTAAATTTTGTTTTCAGCCATCAGTGGGAATGTCTGCCCTCAATGACAGTAATATTATATTGTCAGTGATCAACAAAATTGTCGAAATCTATTACCATAATCATCGAAATTATATGCAAATTGTTCATTGTATACATGAAGTTAGTTTTAAACAATATTCTATCTATTTATTAAATTTTTCTAATTATTGACTTTTAGCTACTAACTTATAATTTTTATTATTTACTTATCCAATCTCCCACTTAAATGCTTATATATATATATATACCCATTCTTAGTTACACACACACACATACACACACACACACACACACACACAAACACATACACACCCACTCCCACAAACATACTGTATATTCATCTATTCATTTATTTTATTTTTATTCAAATTAAAAATTATTTAAACTTTTAAATTTTAAAACAAAAATTGTTTAGTTTGTTGAGAAGATAGCATTGGGACAGGCATTGGATATGACTAATAGCATTGGAAACAACAAATCGGCACAATTAACGAATTACAATATGGATTTATATTATAAAATTAGCAAGCACAAAAATTCATTTTCCTGTTTTGTCTATCAATTTAAACTGGGTAATTGTGTTTTGTTTTTTTTAATAAAAATATTTATTGAGTATTAATCTTAATAACTTTTGAAACATCTTACAGTAGACATATATATTTAATAATTAATATTTGTACATATTTTACTAGAATATAATTAATAATTAATTTTGAGACACTGTTTGTCAATAAAAAACAGTAATTTTTTTTATAAAAGTATATAAAAGCATTTATCTTAATAACTAAAAATATATTACAGCAGACATATAAATTTAATAATTAATTATAATTATTAACAGTTAAATTATAATGTTACTCAACTAAAATTTTATTTGGCTAAAAAATATTTAATAATTTAAAAATCAAATAATATCATTAATTATCTATAATAATAATTAGATACATTAAAATATGTGCTCATTTTTTAAAAATTTAATTATAATTGAGCCAAATTAGTGCATAATTTAGTAGAATATTATTAATAATAAAATTTTAAACATTGTTTTTCAAAAAAAAACTAACCGTAATATAATATATTAAATTTATTTTATAATATATTAAATTTATTTTATAATATATTAAATTTATTTTATAATATTAATATTTAAAATAGTATATACGTTTTATCACAATTTATTTGATTTTTAGTGTCAAAATTTTTGATTTAATCTCACGCTGTTATTCTTAAACATTTTTTTTGCAAACATTTGCTTATTTAATAGTTTTTTATAAAAATGATAGTTTTATATATTTTTGTAAAAATGTAATAATATGTGATGAATATGTGTTTTGAAAATTTATTAAACGGATACTTATTATATGATTCGGATAGATATCGATTTCACGGATCATAATATCTTTAACCGATAATAATATGTTAAACACATATTTTCATCTCTCTAACAATAATAATAATAAAATATTTAGATAAATATATTTTAATGATTTTTTTATTTTTAAATTCATTAGCAATAATAATATCGGATAAATCTGATGATAAAGATCTAGATATTGTTGAAGACTTTCTAATACAGATCGGTATACTTTGCGGCGCTATGAATGACTATCTGGACTATTATGAAGAGTCAATTGGCACTGATATACAGGAAGGTAAATGCACCTGGTTGTTTGTTAGGGCATTGCAATTGGCTAATGATAGACAGCGTGAGGAACTGTTCGCCAACTATGGACACGACGACACCGATCGGGTTAAACACATTAGACGCCTGTACGCCGAGTTAGACATACCGGCACAGCTCAGACTGTTTGTCGACTCTGTGTTTACCAATTTTAGACAACTGGCCACTGGTTCGGGTAATAAACGTCTCGAAGACATTGTCAACAACTTTGCCTACGAGGCCAAAGAGTATGGCATTGTTTGTCACGTTTATGAATAATTTTAAAATAATTTAATTTTATATAACTATAATTATAAAATATTTATTCAAAATTCAATCTAAATTATATTTTTAATAAAATAGACTAATATTAGTTAAGATATATGATTTATAACATCTTTTAAAAATAATATAAAATTGTAGTTTTAATTAATTTAATAAACTATTTAATTATAACTATAAAATTTTAATTAAAAATTTATATATTCCCACTTGCGTTTCATTAGTATTGAAACATTAATTATTTGACATAATTTTTGTAATGTTCAAATTTTATTTTATTTTTTTGTATTTAATTTAATTAGATTAATCATAATTAAAATTTTGAGAAATAATGTGTTCAACATTATATATAAAAATATATAATTATTTATAAGTTTTTCATAATAATAGTTAATATTCTTATAACTTTTATTTAAAATTAAATCTAAATATTATTTTTAATAAATAAACGAATATTAGTCATAATTAGAGCTATGCATTTTCGGGAGTAAAAAATGAAAAAATCAGGAAATTAAATTTGTGTTTTTTCTCATAGTACTAATAATAAATAGTTTATATGTCACAAAATCGGTTATATTTGCTAAAAATGATTTATTTTCAGTTTTTAATTAATTAATTGATTATAAAAATGCATTTAGTTGTTAAGTGCATTTCAGTTTATAAACTGCATTTTGTTAGTAAATTAAGATTGTAAACAAAATATACATTAATTAATTTAAATATTACAGTAAATATTTCTACACTACATATATAACTACAGTTTTTATAGCAAAATATTGTCTAAAGACTGCTTTCCTCTGATACATATAATTAGTGTTGGTAATTTTTCGCAATTCAATTTTCGATTGCCGCAATTGCGGAAAATTGCGTGAAATTGCTTGAAATTGCGCGCATGAGGGAATGTATAAAAATTAACTTTGACAACGTTAAAAATTTTGTTTACAATAGATTAAGAGAGTTTACTAATTTATTATTATTTTTACATGGTTTTTAGATGTCAACATTTTATGATAAAATAATTAAATTTTATATAATTAATTTGTTTTTATTCATATTGCTTTGCCATTTAAATTTTTTAAAAATTATAAATTTTTTTATGTTACAATTGCGATTTTCGCAATCGAGCTTTTTGCAATTGCGGCAATTTCACGCAATTTCCAAGCAATGCAATTGCGCATTTTGCAATCGGTACATCACTACATATAATATCGTTCATTGCTATTGAGTTAATATTGTATTAGATGTACCGCTTATATTGTAATCTTTTAGATCAATTTAAATCAATATTTAGCAAATTTCGGGAAAAAACACACTTAAATAGTGTTTTTCGGGATTTTCTTTAAAAACACCAAAAATCTGGGAAAACAATAGGCGTTAATTTCATTGAAAATGAATTCCCGAATATACATAGCTCTAGTTATAATATATGATTTATAACAGTTTGGCTGAAATCAATAACTGTGTGAATAAATTGTATGAATTGCTATTGAATGGCCTTAAGATACAGTAGCTAATGAATATGCTATAGTCTATTAGAAAAAAAAATTGTATACTAGTTCACAAAAACATTATATTATTGAAGTGTCGGTTAACAGCTTTGTTACCAGTTTTGTTAAATTTGGTAAAATTGTTTATAAATTTTTAAATTTCTATAAAGTATATAATTATTTATATATATATATATATTCGTATATATATGTATATTTATTTATTTATACCAGAATTATGTTAACAACATTGCACACACATACAAATATAGTAGAATAAAATCTATATATTCCAGTTTTATAGTTAATTTTTGGCTTAAAAATTAAAATAAATAAAAAAAATCTAATCCAACAATTGTTTCTCAAAGTCAAGTAAATCTCTGCTCATTTCACCGAAAGTCCGATTCATTGAATAAATATATTTCTCATCAATAAAATCATTGAACTGTTGTTTACCTCTCAGACATTTCTCGCCTTTTGTATATCCATTTCCTCGGGCTAACAGATGGACAGTATGAAAACGGTTACGCCATTGGCTATCGTAACGTAGAAATAGTAGCGGACAGACAACGTTAATATTACAGCCAAAAGCATCGGCAGCTGACCGCTGGACTAATCTTGGATTAATTATGTGTGATATTGGGTTGAATATAATATTTATACAATTTTACTAATTGTTTTTATTTTATTTAATATTAATATTATTTTATAGTATAAATAAACATCTAAAAATAAGTATTTGTTAAAAAAAATTATTAATTTAAAATACCAGAATTTATCAAAAATAATTATATGTGTTTCTCTCAAAAAAAATCTATTTTAACAAACTTAACGTTATTAAAATTTAAATGAATAATTATTTATATTAAATGCCTTTATTTAAATGTTTGAAATATTTAAATTATTATTAATTAATAATTATGAAATTATAAATAATTATAATTTTGAAAACTGTATTAATTTTATCAATTTAAACATTAAGTAAGTATGTGTTGAATTTTTTTACAAGCTTTACGGCTATTGTTTGAAACATTATTATAAAATTTTTTTAAACCTTTAACAATACTATTATTCTGGTTAACCGGTACTTCAATAACTTGTTGTTGTGTTTGTACATGAATTTTGTCCACAATATTCAATTGCATTTTTATCATTTGCTGTATCTTTTGGCCATTAATGGGCAAACTATACAATTTATTAAGACATTTGTCGATATCATCCAAAGTGACGGCTGAATAATTGTCACCATTTTTCTCCATTGAATCGATTATAACATTTTTTTCGTGTTGATATTGTTTTAGCAAACTTTCTAACTGTTCGACCGATTGTCTGGACGACGACTCTCCCGGTATAAGTGCTAAGTTATGTTCTTCAACTCTAATCAAATGTTTGACATAATCCTCGAAAGCGTCGTTAAACGGTGTCAAAGCATTATGTTTGAGAAAAGCGGCGAATTCTGCCATACATTCATTGATAACTTTACTTTCATTTTCAAATTCAATCTGTCTGTCCGCTAATTCCTTAACCATTTCCTGTTGCGCTTCCATAGCCTTTTGTTTATCAGTAATAATATTTGATTTAAACTCATCCCTGCGCTCTGAATTAACTTTTCTAGTTTCATATCTGACATGTAAGTGTGTCATATAGCTGTGTCTACAATATCGGCAATTATTGTCCCGATTACCGAATGCCACACAACCCAATATACCGACATTTCCGATAACGTTTCCGTCGTCGATATCCAGATAACAATGTTCGTGACATAATTGCCGATAATGTTTGAACGATTGGCCGTCGATGACCACAATCTCTACACAGTCTTTATCTTCGCAAACAGTCATCGGATAGTCTAACGGTTTGGACTCGATTTCAATAACGGGTATATAAAGTTCACGTTTCAAGTCTTCAATATTGCCATTGAATTGTTTAATATTTTCTTTTCGTATTTCACATGTTTTAATATTGTCGGCAATATTTTCAGTGATATCAGCCAACGGTTGTGTCAACAATTTGATGGTACGTTTGGCCTCATTTACACTAAGGGTCTCTTTAACATTATGTGGCTTTACATCAGATATATAGCTCATCATTCGTAAGCACTCTTTAACTGATCTAAAAAATATATCATAATTAATACATAATAAATATATATATATATATATTGTTTTTAAATAATTTTTATTAATTTATAATACTTTTCCCAACTATTTCCATATAAACTTTGAATATCTTCATCAAAATTAATATTATTTGGTTGACTGACGGCAACTAAATAACGAAACGACTCGTTATCGAAACAAAATCTATTGGTTTTGTCAAACTTTATCTCAACATTTGGCGGTCTCTGTTTGATCTTATTTAGCGCTGTTTTTATGGGAACTGTTGTATCTCCCGGTGCATAGAAAGTGCTCCGAGCGTTGGTAAACACAAACATTATGTTATCGGCGGCCGATTTGTTCAACTGAGATAACAACTCATTTAGTGTATATAAAAACTGTGCCGTACCTCTTGATTGATTTGGTTTCAATAGTACACATATTCCGTTAATTGTTTTATAATTTGATATAAAATTCAGAATATTTTGAATATTTTGTTTGTCTTTAGTCAGCCCACCAGTATCGGCAATACCGGGCGTATCGATAATATTGAGCCGATAGTCGCCAAAATCAAATGTATAACATCGGGGGTATTGTGTGGCAGATTTACAGGTTTTATCTGTATTTTCCGTATCACTCGGTTCACCAAACGTACAAACCATATCCAAATCAGTTTCCGGATCGGTTAGTGTGAACTTTGTTGGTATCAAACAATGTAATTTGTTTACTGCGTCAACCATTTTGTCAAACAATAGATAATTGACAAATGCATTAATAAATGTTGATTTGCCGACACCAGTCTCACCCAACAATAACATTGTTAATTGTTGATGATTGTTTGTATTAACCTTTTAAGTAATTTTTAATAATATAATAATTTTTTTTTTGATAAAATAAAATTATTTTAATATAATATTTATGTTTAATGATCATAAGTAGTTATATATTATAATATGTCGCTAAAACAACTACATACTAGTGTTTTATATTTTTTGTAGCTAAACTATATTTAATTATATAAATTATGCCTAAAATATAATTTAAACAATTATATTAATATTAAATTATTAATTTTAAAAAATAAAAATTATTATATTACCGTTATAACATCATTATTATCTTGATTTATAAATTCAGAATCTAATATATATATTTATATAAATAAAAATTTTAAAAACATTTAATAATACAATAGTAAGTACTTAAAACATTATAATACTACTTAAATTTTAAATTAATTAAATTATTACTTAATTGATTTATATTGTCGTCAGCTTTTCTTTTTAACAAATTTTTTTGAACGCCTATATCTATATCCATATGACTCTCTAATATGCATTGATTATCAACTTTATTGATTTGTTCTAAATATTAATTTAAGAATTATTAAAAATTTAATTAAAAATTTAATTAAATTATTATTAGTTTATTAAATTATAAAATATTATTTGTGTAAATATTTTAATTATATTTTAAACATTGTTAAATTTTTTTCAGTTACTATTAGTTTTTTAAAATATTATTTTATATATAATAATTATGTGTACAAATAAATATTGTTCAATAGCTATTATATCTAATTGTAATATTTTAAAATAAAAATTAATAAAAGTATTACAAAAACTTTAGACAAGTATTTAAATCTAAACAAATAAACAACTACTAAATAAATAGAAAAATTAAAATTAATAAATTGTAAATAATAGAGATTTTGAAAATTTTGTTATAAAATTTATATTATATTTTAAATTAGAAATAAATATTGCAAACCTGTATTTACTGAATTAATTTCAGTTATCAAATCAACTTCATTAACAGTATTAGCTGTCATTTTTTAAAACTTTTATTAAACACTTGATTATTATACAAATTTAAAATAAAGTTAAATAAAATTATTTAAAAATAACTTTAATATAATTATTAAAAATTATTCATTTTAATTCTATTGTATTTTAATTAAACTACCTGTAATATATTAATTAATTTTTATACATTATATAATATTTTTATTAACCATAGCTTAGTACCATATCATACAATATAAATATATAATCTAAAATTTCTTATAAAAATTCATTAGTTATGATTAATAAACAATAAATATAAATTTCATATCCTGTATTTAAGTATCTAAAAGTACAAAGTTTTAATTTTACTGATTAGTATCAGTTAACATATATTAAAATTATTATTATTACAATAACTAAATATATTTAATATATAATTAATTTTAAAAATATATATATATATTTATTTAAAGTAATTACTCTTTTATTTTGAAATATTTAATGAATAGTCAAAAATTATCAAAATATATTTTAAATATAAAATATTATTTTTTATAAGTGTTGCTTAATTTAATTAAAATATAAAAATTAACTATAATTTAATAAAACATTTTTTATAACATTTATAACATAATAAATAAAATTTTATACATAATATATATATATATATTTTTAATATTTGTGATTAGATTATGAAAAAAATTAAAATACATTTAGATAATACAATATCTAACAATATGACAACAATTACACTTAAATTAATATTTTATAATAAAAATTAATAAATTATTTACATTATTGTGACTCTAAATTGTAACGATTTTTAATTATTAATAATTTAAATTTATAAAAGTATTTATAATAATGATGACAATAAGTCTGTACCGTTTATATCAATTAAAATACATCATTTTGAATGACTTCTTAGCGTAAACTGTTTCACAAATTTTATTTCATTTTTATTTCACAGACTTTACAGAGCACTTACATTATTTAATAATCCTTTATATGTAAACCATTTTACATTCATTTTTATCGGATAAATAAGTGAATATTTTTTATAAATTTATGAAAAACAAGAGTATATATATCAATGATATGATATGATATGATATATTATATCATAATAAAGTTTAAACATTGCTTTACTGTTATACAAAATAATTTTCAATATTAATTCCAGTTTTTTCTAAAATTGTTAACAAATTCGCTACAACTTAAATATATTTGTATATTTATATCACTTTATTATTAGATATTAATTTATTAGTTTTAGATAGATTTAGTACTGTATTATAACATTAAGAAAACTAATATATTATAGGTAACATAATAATATATAATATATTTATTATAATATTTATATGCATGTATATCTTATCATATCTGATATATTAGTTGCATTTATATTAATAAAACTTATTTGTCCCAAACTTGCTTTACCCCAAATAATATAACCTACACATAAAAATTATTTATTTTATTTAAATTGTGTCATAATATATAATTTACAATTGTTATATTTTAAAAAAAACTGTTCATAAAAATATTATTGATTACTAATTTGTAAACATATCTTTTACATTATTTAAATTTTTTTATTCTATTATTAATTATTTAAATATAAATATATAAATCTATAATATAAAATATTAACAAATTCTATATAATATAATTTTAATTAAAAACTAAAATAATATTTACATTAATATACAAAAAATAAAATCTAATCCAACAATTGTTTCTCAAAGTCAAGTAAATCTCTGCCCATTTCACCGAAAGTCCGATTCATTGCATAAATATATTTCTCGTCAATAAAATCATTGAACTGTTGTTTACCTCTCAGACATTTCTCGCCTTTTGTATATCCATTTCCTCGGGCTAACAGATGGACAGTATGAAAACGGTTACGCCATTGGCTATCGTAACGTAGAAACAGTAGCGGACAGACAACATTAATATTACAGCCGAAAGCATCGGCAGCTGTCCGCTGGACTAAATCGGGCCGACGTTTGACTATTTGTGTGGGAAAATGGGCTGAATTACACATCCAACAGTTGTATTGATAGTTTCTGTATGTTTCCAACCATAGTCTCATAAATGTTGCATTTTTTCGGGCAATCAATGTTTGCGAACCTAACAGATAATAAATAAATAAATTTATTAATTGAAGAAATAATTTTTTTAAATAAAAGTTTAATAATGTCTATATATAGTCATAATTGTGTGAATAATTTGTTTATTTATATAAAATAATATTTTTTAATAAAATTTTTTATCATTTATATGTTAAAATGTATTTTTTAAAATATAAATTAAGTATATATTTTTTACAATATTTAACTCCCAATCAATTACTAAATGTTTTAAATGACTAAACACTTATTATAATTTATACTTAAATCTATGATTTTTTATTTAGATATAAAAATATTTATTTTTTAATTATAATAAATCTTTAAATAAGTCTAATATCCTATTGAATACTACCTGTAAATTATATTAATATTTGATTACATTATTTTGTTTTTTTCAGTTTACTGTAATTTCATTATATTTTCATTATATTACCTATGAATTCATCATTGGCTTCAAAATCCAATGTCATATCATTGTTACGATACTCATCCAAACTGTTAACAACATAGACATCAGTGTCCAGATATATACCTCCGTATTCAATGAGTACATTGACTCGGGTATAGTCGGCTGAATGCCATTTAAACATTTGTGGATTAACTTTACGGCCAAATATATGTTTAGACATTTCCCGTTCCTTTAATTCAATCGGTATATTAGTAATGTTTGACAACCGCGACAATCGTTGCCAATACTGGCCACTCAGTTGACGACAATTGCAGTGAATATAAATGACATCCGGTTTCTGATTCTTCACTACCGATAGTATTGACAAATAGTGTATAAATTTCAAGTCAAATGTATTGACTAATACATAGTGTACTATATTTGGTACCAAATAATTATCACTATTTATATTAACATTATTATTATCATTGAATTGATTGTTGTTTTGCTTATCTAAAGCTAGATTATTATCGTCCAAAACATTTGTGTTTTTATAAAATTTACTAAACACTGTAAGTTTGCTAGATGATTTATCATTGTTATTATTATTATAATTATTATTGTAATTAGTTTGCAATATAAATAGACATACAAAAATAAAATAACAAATAATTAATAAATAAATAATTATGTTATTAGAAATTATGCTAAATATAGCCATAATTTTTTATAACTAAATATAACAATACAAATAAATGTAAAATTTGTTTTGTTTTTTTTTTACTTAAAACACTATTTTTACAAATTAAGTTTCAACTATTAAAACAAATATATAAAACACAAATTTATATTTTTTTATTTATAAAATCTATATAAATATAAATTATATTTTCTCATAATTTAATCACGAATTTTTAATTCCACTGACTTTTATTTAAATTACAATTTTTTGGAGTTTTTTTAATAATAATATACATGTATAAGTATATATATATATTTTGTTAATTAATTATTCATGTATTAATAATATTAACAATATATTTTTGTATTAAACAAAATTATTATTAGCTAATGTAATACGTGATTATTGCCTAAATAAACATTTTCATTATATTCATAACAATATAAATATCAAATTTTTTATACATTTAAAAATAATTATAAACAGATATAATAAATTTAAATGTTTTGAATATTTTATTGCTAACTATTTAGTGTAAGTATTTAACTATTTAAAAATAAAAGTAATCAAATTCAATGAAATTACTATTAATAATATTTCATTAGTTTTTTGTCCACTTTTATTGTGTTTATAAAAACTGATATCATGTCTACAAATATCTTCTTCAATGATGTCTTAATCGATGATCCAATCAAACAATCAGTGGTGTATTAAATACAAAAATTAAACGCCTAATGTATAGTCAATGCAATTAATTTATTGCATTCAATGAATACTAAAAACATTAAAAATATTTTGTAAACATATAAAACACATTTTTAATTATTATAACTACACTAAACTTAATAAAAAATTATTTTTGTACACTAAAACCTGTATAATATAAATAACAAATTAGAAATGAAAAAAATTATTTTATTTAATATAAAAAATATATAAATTATTATAATCTGTATAATCAATGTAATAAAAAATAAAAAATTAAATTATTAATAATTGTATAATACGGTATCTATTAAATAATGTTTTTTAACAATTTTAAAATTTATAAATTATAATTGATGTTTAAATAAATATAATTTATATTAAAATAAAGTTAATATAATTACTGTATAAAATATTTTATAGATAAAAAAATTACCGGTAGGTACTTTAATTTCAAAAAAAAAAAATAAAAATAATACTAAACAACAAAATTTACTTTTAAAGTGATTACAGCATTGCAATAATGTCGGAAAAAATAAATTTTAAAAATTTGATTAAAAACAAAACTTAAACCAATATATCTGTATATTTAATAAAAAAATAGTATCTAATATTAATAAATATTTCAAAATTAATCCTAAAATATAACCCATATTTAACATTACCGGTACTAATGATAATACTAGTTATATAACATTTTTAGATAAATGCATGTTTGAAATCAATACCCCTAATAAAATTATCAGAAGTATAGGCAAACGATATGTTAACATTGGTGACCATCGGTTGCCGAGAAATCAGATCACCGATAATTTGGTGGTCGGCAATAACTGGATTATGGCAATCAACTAATTGAACGGTAGTTAAGTGAGACAATCGGGACAGTGATTGCAGTGACACCGGAGTAATGTTAGGTCTATCGATGCAAATGAATTGAAGTCGCGGTAAATGGCGGTCAATATCGCGGAAAAACTGGTCGCCGCAAACTCCTTCACCCAATGATAGTGTCAAATGTGTCAATTGTTTCATATGTTTCAGTGAATCACTGGTTAGTTCCACAATAGTATTATTATCGACAGCAGAACTAACAGAAACATTGTTTCTTCTGACTTCACACGAAATGGTCAGTCGTTTCAATTGTTTCAGATCTTTGCCCAATGTGTCCACCAATTGATTAAACACTGTATGTGTTACTGCATTGACATCTGATATTGATAGTAGTAGTCGACTAATATGTGGACATTGGCGACAAAATTTCTGGCCAATTAGTTCACCAATAAATCTAGTATTAAACTCATCAACAATTAGCCGAAGTCGTCTTAGTTGTGACATCTGTGACAATGACCGAACAAATGACTGGACATCTATTTCCGAGTCAAACTCGACACTAATGACAAGTCTAGTCAATCGGTGGCCATAATCGGCTACAAACCGACTAAACTGATCGTTAGTTGTGTTGTCGTAATTCAAACTAAACGACAGCGACTGTAAAGTTTGCGGTAAAACACAATAATTGTTTTCATTTGTAAATAAATCAGAAATATCAATGAAATTCATAATATTGTCTTTGATCTCCAGTTTCTTCAGTTGCGGCAAATATTGGTTAACTTTGTTGACCACCAGTTGATGATTATCGTTGTGTGTCATCAGTTCAAGTGTTTGCAATTGTTGGCCAAATTTGACCAATAATTTATCAAAAGCCGGTCCAAACTGTAACCAATTGTTACTATCGTTACGATAACCGATGATAATGTGTTTGAGACGCGGACAGTGTTTGATCAATGAGTCGACAATTTGATCAAATATACCGATATTGTCACTAATGACAACCCGTTCAATGTTTGGACACTTTTCGATGATCGCCGCAAACACCTTAACTCTTCGTTGTCTTTCATTCATTGCTTGTAAATCAATTGAAATACACAGATCTGTGTCTAATGTAATACTGGTTTGTCTGTTGAATATCAATGCCGACCACTGTTTGGACATCGATTGTAGTCTTAGTTTGTCATCAATCGGCAGATATTCAAGCAATAGTTGACACAAATCATCGCCGAAACGATCAAACGAGTCGTCGTCAGTCTTCTCTGTCATTGTTTTTGTCTTCAGTTTTCAAATATCTTTATTTCATTAGTTTTTTTATATTTAATAAAAAAACTTTAATTAATTGAAACTAAACTTTATTTTTAAAAATATATATATAAAATAATTTTTAAGTTTAATTATATGATAATTAATAAATAACTTACAGTTATTAATCAAAACTATTTTTGTCAACAAATTATTATTTTTTTGTTAATCAAATAATGTCTTAATCGGTGATCCAATCAATCAATCAGTGATTATAATCACTAAACACAACAACAAAACAACAATCAAAACGTCTATTCAATAGTCAATGCAATCAAACATATAATACAAACAATTATTGCATTTCAATAAAAACAAAACAAATTACAACAACACTAATAAAAAACGTTTATTTTATACTTTAAATGAGATTTTTTTGTTTTGAATATTTATTAATATATAGTGTTATTAATACTAATAGAAATTTTATATACATATATATATAGGGTTTTAATAGATTTTGTACGTTATTTGTGTTCAATATATATTAAACCTGTAATGTTGTAATACCTGTACAGTTACTACAGTATTAATATAATGTATTCAAAGTTTATGTCACATAATATGCTAATAATGTATTTAAAATTATTATTATTAATACCTGTATATATACTGTATATATATATATATATATGTCTTAATGCAAAACTGTTGGTTAATTAACAACACAATTAATTAGAGATTGTTTTATATAATGATATAAATAATATAAAATATTAATACTGTACTTATTATATTATAATTATAACTAGACTGCCAGCTAATTATTGTTTTTAACACTAAAAACCTGTATAATTACTATTTTTTTTTTTAAATTAACACAATTTATGATAATATAAAAGTGGGTTAATTAATATTATTTCAATATAATTAATTATTATTTATTTTGTTAAAAATATTTGATTCATATTAAAACATTTTATTTAATTAAATATATTAATATAACTAAAATTAACTAACAATATAAATTTAATAATAATTAATACTATAATAATAAATAAAAATATTCAACTGTTAGAGTAATTAATACAGAATTATAATTTAAACATTAAATAACTAAATAAAGTAAAATTTATTAATTATTTAATTAAATATTCTTTAATGCATTAATAATGACTAAACTAAAAATAGTAATAAAATTACAAAAAAAAAGTATTATTTTAATGATTTCATAGTTTATTAATTATTTATTAAACATTAATTTGATTTTGAATTATTTGCTTTGATTTTATTATAAAACTAATATTCAAACCACTAGTTTACTTCATTTATTTGAACTAAGATTTATTTTTTTTTACTTAAATTTCAATTATTAAAGTTTCCCAAAACAAGAAAAAATGTTATTATTTTCAATAATAAATTCAATTAGTTATTTTACATTAACAACACTAATATTTCTATTAGTATTTGGTGTTATAATGAAAATCTATGGCCAATATGCTCACCGAAAACGTTTTCCTCCCGGTCCCAGAAATTGGCCACTCATTGGTAGTGTATTTTCCATTACGGGCGCCAATCCTAAAACATTTGCCGATTGGTCCAAAAAATATGGACCTGTTATCGGGTAATTGATTTATTTTAAATAAGTTAATTGATATTTTGAATATATTGTTATTTTTTTTTTAATTAAAATTAGTATACATATGGGTTCCTCTCCAACTGTACTACTTAACGATTGGCCGTCTATTAAGGATGCCCTCTTGCAGGACACAACTCTTGATCGACCCGTTGATAATTTATTTGCATCGGTTGCTCCAAAAGGTAAGACAATTATCTTAAAAAAATTGTTTAATTTTATATTTAAATCATTATAATATTATAATATTAGATATATATATATATATAAACATATCTATATAATATCTAATATATTTATATATATCTGGGTTTGGTAAAAGGGAAAGGTAGGTTAAATCGGTTTACCCCCTCCCCTTTGATTACAAATGTTAGATCTTACCACCCCCCTGCCGAAAATGTTAGGGTGACTCCTAATATTTTTTCTTTTTTTAAAATGAAATTTAATATTAAACAAAAAAATAAATAAATGCTCAGTGAGTTTAAATATAAATAAATAGTATATATTTACAAAATAAATGAATAAAAACTAATTAAATACTGAAAAAACTAATTAATACATCAATTTAACAATCTTTACAATAAATATTATGCAATAAAACAATAAAACTTAATTGTTTTTATATTTAAACACAAAAAAAATAATTATTTAATATGTAAAATAATATGTAGAGATCTCTACTAAGTTCCTTAATATATTTTCCTATTATTTTCCTGGAAAATAATGGAAATATTAAATTTTTATATCTAAAATTTTAAAAAAAAATATATATTTTATGTTCAAAAAAAATTGAAAAGTTTTGTTTACTGAAATCTATAATGGCTTTTTGTGTGTGTGTGTGTGTGTGTGTGTGTGTGTGTGTGTGTGTGTGTGTCTGTGTGTGTATGTGTGTGTATGTGTGTGTATGTGTGTGTATGTTTGTGTATGTGTGTGTATGTCTGTGTATGTGTGTGTATGTGTGTGTATGTGTGTGTATGTGTGTGTATGTGTGTGTGTGTGTGTGTGTGTGTGTGTGTGTGTGTGTGTGTGTGTCTGTGTGTAGCATATTTTTTGCGAATTTTGAAATTCTGACTTCAGATTTGGTTAGAGGACTAATAATAATGTATTGAAAAGTTGCATCAAAAATTATCTATCTCTTCGGGAACATAGACAAAATGGCGGCCAAAGTAAAAAAAAATTAAAAAATTTTTATTAAGCATAGATTTGAATAAAGCATCAAAAACAAGCATAAAAAATATGCATTAAAATTTTGATATTTTTTTCGGGAACATAGAGAAAATGGCGGCCAAAGTAAAAAAAATTAGGTAAAAATTTTAATGTTTATAATTGTATAGAGCATCAAAAATAAGATTATAAATCAAAATTATTAATTTTCAAAAAATGGCGGCAAAAGTATGATTATAGTTGTTTATTTTGTTATAGTAAATCATTTGATACCATACATAAGTAGTTGTTTATTTTGTCATACCGAACCATTTATACCCTACATGACTAAAGTTGAGTTTATTTTGTCATACAGAGTCATTTGAATATATGACTAAAACCCAATGACAATTAATTTGCGAACATAATATTTTATGCAGTCAAGTTTTTTTTCTAATAATGCTTTCTAGCATTCTTAACTGGTTTAATATAAATTGAATTTTAGGGTTACAAATATTTTTTGAGTAATAAATATCTATAAACATTTAATTTTTACTTTTAAGTTAAATGTAATTAATTAGTGTATTTTTTATTGCTTTTTATATGTTTTTATGCAAAACTATTTATTAATTTCTAAACTATTGAAAATATATAAATATTAATTTTTTAATAAAATGTTTTGAGTTTATTAAGAAATATAGTTAGAATTTTTTATTTGTTCAATAAAGAAAATTATAATTAATAATCATATAATGATTTTTCAAAAAATAATATAAATCATTAATTTTATTTATCTTTTTGAAAATAAAACAATATAATTTTTATTACAAATTTATTGTTTTAGATAGATGTGCAAAATCACGGTTATTTATAATTAAAATATATATATTTTTCTTTGAATTAAATCAGTTAAACAATATATATATATAATATTTATATAAGTAAGTAATAAGTTATTCAATATGCTAATAAATGTGAGCCATTTTTAAAAATAGTAATTTTACGATTAATATTTATATGATGACATATATAAAATTTTATATAAACTCAATGACAAAACTATAAAATACAATTAAACTTAATTATAATCAAATTATTTAATAATTTATATTAAAATCAAAAAACTAGAAAAACACATAAACTATTACTGATTCAGTGAATTTGGTTGTATAGTAATCATTATTATTATATATAGTTTTAGGCATAAATAATAAATATTTAAAATAATAACATACAGTATATATATATACACGTAGTGTATATTATTCAGTACATATAATTTTTATATACCCAATTTTTTTGTAATAAATTTATTTTAAATTAAATGTTATATGATTCAATATTTAAATATATATATAAATATATTAAATTGTTGAAAACACAAAACTATATATAATTAAATAATTTATATATATTTATAATTAAATAATTTATATATTTATAATTAAATAATTTATATATTTATAATTAAATAATTTATATATTTATAATTAAATAATTTATATATTTATAATTAAATAATTTATATATATTTATAATTAAATAATTTATATATTTATAATTAAATAATTTATATATTTATAATTAAATAATTTATATATTTTAAAAATGGCAATTAATAGGAATCAGTTCAATGAATGGACAAGAATATAGAGATCAGAAAAAATTTCTAAGTCTTTGGTTTAAAAAAATAAAATCAAAAGGAAAGCCATTACTGGAAGACCTAATTATCGACGAAATTCAACAATTGTTTCATACAATTGATAAGATAATTACTATTGATTTTGAAATACCTGTCCGATCGTTGTTTGGTTTGAGTTTGTTTAACATTGGCAGCAAATTTCTATTAGGCCAACGATTTGATTATACAAACATAGAAATGTTGAAACTAATTGACAATTTTTTTGCTACCAATCCTAATCTGGCTCTTAACTCTATTTTTGGACAGTTTCCCAATGTTAACAAATTTTTGATTAAATATTTTAACTTTTTATTACAAAAATCAGCTAATGGACAAGCAAATATTGATATTTGTACAATAATTAAGTATGATTTACTAATTTTGTTTGTTTTATTTATGTCAAATATATATATATTATATATATATACAGTATATTGTTTACAATAAATTATTATTTATTTATTTATTGTTTAAAAAAAAAATAAATTAGAAATGAAATTACATCACATGAAAAAACATTGGATACAAATAAAAATGATAATAATTACAACCATTATATGGATACGTATATCAGGGAATCTCGAAAACAAAATATCAAAATTGAAAGTTCAGTTAGTTGTATGTCGAAAAAAATCCATTAATTTTTTATAAATACTAATTTAATTTAATTAACAATTTATTAAAAAATAATAATAATAATAATAATAAAACTAACAATATATTTAATTTAAAGCTGGTACATTAGATAATAGTCTAGTAGGCATAATATTTGATCTATACGGTGGTCAAGTATTATCGATGATAAATCCGATTGAATGGTCGCTGGTATTGTTGGCCACATATCCGGATGTTCAGCAAAAAGTTTATCGAGAAATTGTCTCAATTTTGGGTACAAACGGTAGACCAATGTATGAACAAAGAAATCAGTTGCCATACGTTCAGGCGTTCATCTATGAAGTGATGAGATTTAGATCAATTACACCATTGAATTTGCAACGAATGTATGAATTAATTTTGTATTATATAAATTTATATAATTTATTATATAATTAATATATTATATTTATATACAGTTTATGTTACTTAAAAGTTTAAATTTGAGTAATATTATGCAATGCTTTAGCAAGGTATTTTCTATTAACTTTCCTAATATTGGGTAACTGTATAATAAATTACCTTGCTTAGCGTAAAGTTAACTGTACACGATATTACTCAAATTTAAAATTTATTGGCATTATCTGTATATATATATATATATATTACGTTAAATATATATTTATATACTGTATTTGTATCTATATATATAATCACAGGGCAACTGCTGACACTATAATTGGTGGACAATTTGTACCAAAAGGTACACATATATTGATAAACTTTTGGTCAGTTAGCAACGACCCGAACCTATGGGACGAACCGAACCGCTTTCGACCCGAAAGATTTCTCATAGACGGCGAAACCAAATTTGTAAAACCCGAATATCTGATACCGTTTTCATTTGGTATAAACTATTAAAATACTGTATCAATAATATCCTTATTAACATATTTACTAAACATACTATATATACAGTATATATTGATACTATGTGTATATAATTGATTAGTGAAAATATTATAATATTAATTATTACAATATTTTCTATTACATTACATTATATTTCATATTTTTTTTTTGAATAATAGGCAAAAGGACGTGTCCGGGTGAGGTGTCGGCATTAATGCAATTGTTTTTCTATACTATTTTATTAATACAAAAATATGAAATCAAAGCAACAAAAAACACGGACACAACACTTGACTATGAATTTCAATTATCAGTCGCTCCTAAACGTGAACCGGTAGTCGGTTTTGTCAAACGTTATGATTAATACCTTATTATTTTTTGTTTGTTTTGTTTTAATTAACTAATATTTTATATTCATTTTTTTAATAAATAAAAATGTTTATTAAATACATTCACATATATCTACTATTCATTTATAATAGATAACGTAATAGCTATACTACTGTAGTTAATAAACACAAAAAATATATTAATTAAAAAATTTGATCTGAGAATAACTAAAAAAAACTAAATAAATATATATAAAAATAAATTTAAAAAAAACTAAAAAATAAATAAATCAAATATAAATAACAATATTCTACTCTTTGAGTGATTATAATAATAATATTAAATAACTAAAAAAAATTATCGTACCGGTAGTTATATTTTTTCAACAAAAATTTAAATAATGTATATTTACAACAACAACAAAATAATATCTAATATTATTAAATATTTAAAACTAATAAAAAACAAGTACTTAATCAATACTATTGTTATATAACATTTGATAAGTGTTTTTTAGTAAAATGTAACTTTAGATAAATCATTATTAGACCGATAAATAAACTTATCAAAAGTATTGGCAAACGATATGTTAACATTAGTGACCATTGGATGGCCAGAAATCAGATCATCAATAATATAGTGATCGGCAATAACTGGGTTAAGACATCCGATTAAATGCACTGTTTGTAAGCGACGCAATCGGGTCAGTGATTGCAGTGATCGGCGGGTAATAATAGGTTCATCGATATGAATCAACTGTAGTCTCGGTAAATGGCGGTAAATATCGTGGAAAAACTGGTCGCCGCAAACTTCTCCACCCAATGACAGTATCAAATGTGTCAATTGTTTCATATGTTTCAGTGAATCACTCGTTAGTTTCGCATTATTATTATTATTGTCGGCAGAAATATCAGAATCATTATTATAACAAACTTCACAATCGATGTCCAGTTGTTTCAATTGTTTGAGATTTTTGCCTAATGTGTCCATTAATTGATTAAATAGTGTATCTGTTATTGAATTACCACTAAAAACAAGACTCAGTCGACTAAGTTGTGGACATTGGCGACAAAATTGCTGATCAATTAGTTCACTAATTAATTTAGTACTTAAACTGTCGGAAACAGTTAGTCGGAGTCGTCTTAGTTGTGATATCTGCGACAATGACCGGACAAATGACTTGACATCTATATCGCTATCAAAATGAACGTTAATATCGAGTTCTATCAAACGGTGGCCATAATTAGCGGCAAATCGCCGAAATTGTGACCTATAGTTGTCGGTCAAACTAAACGATAGCGACTGTATAGTTGTAGGCAAAAGACAGTTGTCTTCAGCAGCAATAAAGTGTGAAAAAACTATTAAACTTATGCTATTGTCTTTGAGAACCAATTTCTTCAGTTGCGGCAAATAATCCTTAACTTTGTTGACCACCAATCGATGGTTAGCGATATGTGTCATCAGTTCAAGTGTTTGCAATTGTTGGCCAAATTTGACCAAAAAGCGATCAAAAGCCGGTTCAAAGAGTCGCCAATTGTTGCGATCATTACTATAATAGATATCAATGTGTTTGATATGCGGACAGTGTATCGCCAATAGACTAACGAGTTGACCAAAAATACCGATATTATCACTAATGACAACTCGTTCAATGTTTGGACACTTTTCGATGATCGCCGCAAACAACTTAACTCTTTGATATCTATCACTCAATAATTGTAAACCAATTGAAATACACAGATCTGTGTCTAATGTAATACTGGTTTGTCTGTTGAATATCAATGCCGACCACTGTTTGGACACCGATTGTAGTCTCCATTTGTTATCAATTGGCAGATATTGAAGCAATAGTTCCGCCAAATCATCGCCGAAGCGATCAAACGAGTTCTTCTTTGTTGTCATTGTTGTTGTCATTAGTCTTCAAATATCTTCATTTAACTAATTTTTTTGTTGAAAAAAAACTATAAAATATAAAATAAATGTTTAATCAATAAAAATAACTTACAGTTAATATTATAGTAATAATTGTTTTGTGTTTTTATAAAAACAAAATTAAAACTTTGATTATTATTATTATTATTATTATTTCAATCAATACTTTAATCTCTTATTGTTTTTTTTGTGTCAATAAAACTGATATCTTGTCTTAAGATATCTTCTTAAAAAAATAATGTCTTCATTGATAATGACAACAAATTAATCAATCAATTAATCAATCAATAAGTTGTTGTAATTCATACAACAATTAATTATTATTTTTAAAAAAAACTTATTAAAACTATTCAATAGTCAATGCAATCAATCAATTGTTTGTTTGTATTTCAATGATATATTCAAATAGCAGACAATGTTTTTGTAAACACAAACAACTATAACAACAAAAAACGTTTTGTTTTATATTGTTTTCAAATGAGTTTTAAAAAAAATAAATACATTAGTTATTCCTAATATTGTTTGAAAATAAAAACTTATTTTGAGTTTTAATACCTTTTTTTTGTACGTTAATTATGTTTATATACTAATAGTTTTTTAAATTTTAAAATACCGGTAAAAATGTTATAATATATTATTAATTGACAGACCGACAGACCGACAGACCGACAGACCGACAGACCGACAGACCGACAGACCGACAGACCGACAGACCGACAGACCGACAGACCGACAGACCGACAGACCGACAGACCGACAGACCGACAGACCGACAGACCGACAGACCGACAGACCGACAGACCGACAGACCGACAGACCGACAGACCGACAGACCGACAGACCGACAGACCGACAGACCGACAGACCGACAGACCGACAGACCGACAGACCGACAGACCGACAGACCGACAGACCGACAGACCGACAGACCGACAGACCGACAGACCGACAGACCGACAGACCGACAGACCGACAGACCGACAGACCGACAGACCGACAGACCGACAGACCGACAGACCGACAGACCGACAGACCGACAGACCGACAGACCGACAGACCGACAGACCGACAGACCGACAGACCGACAGACCGACAGACCGACAGACCGACAGACCGACAGACCGACAGACCGACAGACCGACAGACCGACAGACCGACAGACCGACAGACCGACAGACCGACAGACCGACAGACCGACAGACCGACAGACCGACAGACCGACAGACCGACAGACCGACAGACAGACAGACCGACAGACAGACAGACAGACAGACAGACAGACAGACAGACAGACAGACAGACAGACTACTTATATATTTTATAAACTACTGTAAGTATGCACTGTGCAGCAATATATAAAATATTTATATTTTAAATATATATATATCAGGGTTAAGTAAGGGGGTAGGGATGGTAAGGCCAAAATAGCCCCCTAAGATCGAGATTTTGGGATTTTACTCCCCCAGACTTTTAGACCAAATGGGAAAAATTGACGCTTAAAAACGAGGAGAAATGACCCCCCCCTCCCTCCTAAAATTTAGTGTTTTTTACTAAAAAAAATTATTATATTATATTAGAAGCTAACTTTGTTAATTATTTTATTTAATATTCTAATCAAATTAATTAACTATAGAATTATAAAATAAAACAGCAATATGTTAGTGAATACGTGAAGTTAAAAAAAATCATTAAATTGTAAATATATTATTATATATTAGTTTTTTTAATGTTAGTATTTAAATAATCATTTAATCTCTATATTATTTTATTATTATTACTATTTAATATTTTATTACTTTATTTAATTTATAATAAAATATTAATAAAAATGAAATTAAAAAAACATTTTTTTATTAAATTATTTAAATATAATATAAAATTTTTAATTTAGAAAATAAATGTAAAAAATAATTTGTATTAAATGTATTTATTATAAATTGATAAACTAAAATTTAGAAAACAATATATTAAAACACTGATAAAATATATATAAATATATATATATAATAAACTAATTATATAAACTGTATGTAACTATTGAAATAAATGACAAACATTTTTGCCATACTCTTTGGCCGCGTTGGCAAAGTTATCGACAATATCGACAATACGTTTGTTACCTAAACCGGTGGCCAGTTGTCTAAAACCAGTGAACACAGAGTCGGCAAACACTAACATCTCTGCCGGTATGTCTAACTCAGAGTACAGTTGTCTAATGATTTCGATACGATCGGTGTCGTTGTGTCCATAGTTGGCCAACAGTTCCGTACGTTGTCTATCATTAGCCAATTGCAATGCCCTAACAAACAACCAGGTGCATTTGCCTTCCTGTATATCGGTTCCGGTTGACTCTTCATAATAGTCCTGATAGTCATTCATAGCGCCGCACAATATACCAGTTTGTATTAGAAACTCTTCAACAATGTCCGACTCGTTATTATCCAATTTACTATCTGTTATGATCATTGCTAATCAAATTTTGTGTTTAACAAAAAAAATGTTAAACAAATTTATTCACAATTTTTTAAAAATTAATTATATCGTATGAGTTTCAGAAACTATTAGATTTATATTAATATATATTATTTTGTAAACAAAAATAATTACCTAATTTAAATTGATAGACAAACCCTGAAAAAGAGTTTTTGTACTTGTTAATTTTATTGTATAAATCCATATTATAATCAGTTATTTTAATTGATTTGTTAGTAATAACACTGTTTGTCATATCCAGTGCCTGTCCTATGGATATCTTCTCAATAAACTGAAAAAATTAATAATAATAATTGTTTTATTATATTTTCAAAAAAAACTTGAAAAGTTTTGTTTTCTGAAATCTATCCGAGCTTTTTGTGTGTGTGTGTGTGTAGCAATTTTTTTGCGAATTTTGAAATTCTGACTTCAGATTCGGTTAGAGGACTACTAATAATGTATTGAAAGGTTGCATTAAAATTTTGATATTTCTTCGGGAACATGGACAAAATGGCTGCCAAAGTAAAAAAAAAATTAAGAAATTTTTTTAAAGTATAGATTTGAATAAAGCATCAAAAACAAGCATAAGAAATATGCATTAAAATTTTGATATCTCTTCGGGAACATGGACAAAATGGCTGCCAAAGTAAAAAAAAATTTAAGAAATTTTTTTAAAGTATAGATTTGAATAAAGCATCAAAAACAAGCATAAGAAATATGCATTAAAATTTTGATATCTCTTCGGGATCATAAAGAAAATGGCGGCCAAAGTAACAAAAATTAGGTAAAAATTTTAACGTTTAGAATTGTAAAGAGCATCAAAAATATGATATAATATTTCAGCATATTTTTTTAAAATGGCGGCAAAAGTATAAAAAAATTTTAGAATTTTTTTAATTATAGATTTGAATAAAGAATCAAAAACAAAAATAAAAAAATATGCATTAAAATTTTGATATCTACGGGAACATTAAGAATAAGTATAAGCGGCAAAAGTATAATTATAAATGATTATTTTGTTATACTAAATCATTTGATACCCTACATGACTATAGTTGTTTATTTTGTCAAACCGAGTTATTTGATACCCCACATGACAAAAGTTGAATTTATTTTGTTATACCTAGTCAATTGATACCCTACATGACTATAGTTGAATTTATTTTGTTATACCTAGTCAATTGATACCCTACATGACTATAGTTGAATTTATTTTGTTATACCTAGTCAATTGATACCCTACATGACTATAGTTGAATTTATTTTGTTATACCTAGTCAATTGATACCCTACATGACTATAGTTGTTTATTTTGTCATATCGAGTCAATTGATACTCTACATGACAATATTTATATAATGTATATTTGACCATTTTTTAAATTTTTATATATTATATAGCCGCTATAACTAATGGTTTTCAATGTTATTCAAGTTTTTTTTCTGAAAATGCTTTCTAGCATTCTTAACTGGTTTTTATTATTATCAATAAATGTAGGCAAATAAGTAGGCAAAAGTAGATAAATTAAACTAATTTGTTTTAATAATGAGAAATAAAATTATATAAGTGTATTATGTGTATTATCATAAATGGTTGACTAAGTACTGTAGATTAGATAAGTGTGTAATATCTATACATATAATATATAATCTATTTATATAAAACTAACCTCATGTATACAATGTACGATTTGGACATAATTACAATGATTTTTGTAATAGATTTCTACTATTTTGTCCACAATTGCCAACATTATTGTGCTATCATTTATAGCTGACATTCCCACCGATGGCTAAAAATCAAAATAATTTTTTTAATATTTAGTTTTTACTTTTTTCTTATCAACAGTAGTAATGCATATTATATAAATTATGTATTGTTTTATACCAATGTATACCAACAGGGTTTACCAAATTTTTGTGTCGATTTGTCCATAATATCGTCCAACAAAAACAAACTCATTGTTACCAATTCAACCGCCACTGCCATTGCATAGACCGGTTCATTGTCTTCGTCTTTGTTATTGCTGTCGATGATCGCACCGACCGATTGTTGATTACACTTACCGTTAGTCAACAGCCTATAGCCTAGTATATACATCCGGCCGTAGTCTACGGTATTGTATTGACTAAAGAAATAGTCAATCATTTTCTCCAATTGTGGTCTCAATTGTTGAATATCCGGACTCAACATGTTATCCAATACTCGTCCGATAATCTGCTTAAACAGCGACCAAAACTTTGGCATATCGTTAGACATCATTGATTCAAATATTTCTGGTATTTCTCTGTGTATTCAAAATAAATTATTTTTTTAAACAGTTTACAAACTTTTTATGTTTAATTTTTTTACAAATTGTTATACTTATTATTATTATATAACTTACTTATTCATATTATATGTTTATACAAAATTAATTGTTTAGATAAAAAAATATTAAAAATATATATTATTTATATTGTATACTTGAATAGTAGAAATAGTTAAAAAAGGTAATAACTGTTTGATATCACTATATTATACGTATATATTTTTTATATAGATATTTAATTATTTTTTTTAAAGAAAATGTTGTTTCATTTTATTTTTTTTTTGTTAATTCATTCTTTTTTAAAAAAATATTAATTTAATAGTAAAACCACTATTTGTAACACTATTTCAAAGTAATTGATACCATTTAACATAGTCTGATATTAGTGACCGTGAATTATACAGTATTATACTGCAGGAAATTTTGTTAATAATTTATTTGAGAATATATTTTATGAGTTTTAAAAAATTTAAGTTGAGAATATTTTTTTTTTTAGCTAATTTATGTAAGAATTTCTTGTAAATATATTGTGAATATATTGGTTATTTATTGGGAATTTATAAAGAATTATCTGGTCATATATTGGGAATTTATTGGGAATTTATTGGGAATTTATTGGGAATTTATTGAGAATTTATTGGGAATTTAATGGGAATTTATTGAGAACAGTTTCACAAACTTTTTTTATTTAGTTTTTCTATAGATTATAATATATATTATTACTATTATACTTATTATTATTTAACTTACTTATTCATATTATATCTTTATACAAAATCAATTGTTTAGAAAAAAAATATTAAAAAGAAAATATTAGTTATACTGTATACTTGAATAGTAGAAATAGTTTTTTTTAAATCTCATAGTTTTAAAAAATATCATTACTTTGCAGATTTATCTACAAAAGAATAATTAAAAAAAATAATTATATTTATATTAATAATATAATTATTTTTTTTTAAAATACACGTATGCACTATAATGTAAATGTTGTATTTTAAACATTAGTTAAGTTTTACGGCATTTATTCATTTTACACACCAATAGATTTTCTGACAAATAGAATTTCTGTCTGTCTGTCTGTCTGTCTGTCTGTCTGTCTGTAATATAAAATATTTAATTAAATTACTAAAAATATTAAATAAAATAAATAACATGGTTAAATAGTTATTTTATTTTCAAAAAATATATATAATTACTTTGCAGATTTATCTACAACTAAATAATTTAAAAAAATACTAATATAATATATTTATATTTCAAATATAACGAATTTTTTAAAAACCTAAAATATTAAATTAATAGTCAATTTTATCTACAACAAAAATTTTATTTTAATTTATCATATCAATAAAACTATATATATATATATATATATATATATAATGTCTGTTAGTTTTAAGGAACAATTGTATTTTAATAAGTAAGTAAAGTAATTGACATTGGTCAAATTAATTACAATCAATAATTAATATTATTGTCTTTAATAATAGCAATACAAGCGAATCGTTTGTATTAATTTGTTTCAAACAACAATCGGAAAAATTTTGGTCAATGTTTGACAATATTGTTGATAAAGTGTTGGAAAACATTATGACAACCAATGATGAGACAGTGGCTGAACAGATGAAACCACATTTGCAACAAATCATAGGCTATTATAAGGGATAAAACACTTTGAATCCGTTTGGTTTCGGACCAGTAATGACCTATAGTTTGCTTACGGGACATATGCCCAGTGATCCACTGTTTGATACAAATGTCTATGCATTGGGTTGGGTGGGCATAATGTTGTCCAACTATTATTTCCTGTTGGACGACATTATGGATAACTCAACTAATAGATTGGGCAAACAGTGTTGGCATACATTATGTAAATATGATTAAACTAATGACCCAGGTAAATTAATTAAAAATTTATATTAAATTCTTATTAAATTATAATATAATACAAGTTTTAATTTTTAATAAAGCTACTTGGTAATATATCAATAGGACAACAATTGGATATGATATACTCACAAATGCATGAATCAGTGAATTTTGAATATTTTACAATCAAACGTTATGTTAATAAAAATAAATATAAAAATGCATATTTTGGATTACTTATGCAATTCAAATTTGGTTTGTTTTTATTTTTTATATTAATATACTGTATATATTATATATTATATATATATACTATCATAACTATCAATAGGATTGTACGCTTCGGGACGGGATTGTATTGAACACCAAGAAATAGTTGAACAAAAGTTAATACTATTGGGTGTATTGGATGGCGCTATCAATGATTATGAAGACCTGAACAAAGAGGGCGGAACTGATATACAAGAGGGTAAGTTCAGTTGGCTAGTGGTCAGGGCATTGGAATTGGCAGATGATAGACAACGGGCTATAATTGTCGATAACTATGGCCGAGTAGATGACCAGTGTGTCCAACAAATCAGACAATTGTATAATGAATTGAATTTGAAACACGAGTTTCTTGTCTATGCTAACCAAGTGTTTGATGATATTCACAAATTTTGTTTGGATTTCAATGACAATTTGGTCACCAATTTTGCTTATTTGGTCAAACAATATCTCAATTATGCGGTTAAAGAAGATGCTGTCTTTATATAACTATTTTTTAAATTATTTTTTTTAATTATTTTGTTTATAATTATAATATTAATACTGAAATAACAACAATTTATTATAATTAATGTTTTATTTAAAAAAATACTTTTCTTAAAATAGTAATAAATATTTGAAGCTTATTAATTAACTTAATTCTAAAATTATTTAATAAATGTTTTTATTAAATTCATAATTTTTATCTAACATTTTATTTTTTAAAATTTATATATGTTTGACCACAAAAATATTATGTAAAACGAAAAACTTTAACTTAATTAATTTTAAACAAAAATTTAATTTACACTACTGCAATAATTTTATTTAATTAAAAAAAATGTATATAATATAGTTTATCTAGTATAAATATTTTATAAGTACCCTGGATAAATCTATCGAAAGTATTGTCAAATGTTATATATAAACACATTGGTGACCAATTGGTTGGGCCGAAATCAGATTACCTAAAATGTTCAAATATTTTCTCAATTCTGGCCAACAAATCCAATGCTATCTTACTGTCCATCCTATTGACTGCACTTATAGTCAAACGTGACAATTGTGTCATATGCAAGGTTTTAAGTGTAGCAGTCATAAACAATAGATGCAAATTTTGCCAAATGCCTTGAATGCCCTGGGCATCTATTTTCAGGTGGTGACACCTATTATTATTATGATTTTATATTATTTATTTATTTATAAAACAATGTTTTATCAATATATTTGTTTTAATTTTTGTTTTGTTTACCCTTAATTAAAAGGTAAAATCCTTGAAATAAGTATATTTATAAATATAATTAACATGCTAATTAACAGTAAATTACATTATTTTTATAAATACAGTTGCTTTTTAGCAATTTAAATTGGCAGACATATATTATAATATAATGATTTTTTTTAGTAAAAAAAACTACAGTATTCATTAGCATATAACTGTTTTTGTATAATTGTTTGGATATGCTGTTAAATATTGTTTAAATAAATAATAAAAAATATATAAAGAATAATATCTAAATTGAGACAAATGTTTTTGATTAAAACACATAATTTTTTTTGCTAATAATTTTCAGATTTTTATTGCATTACTTATAATATGTTTACAAATATGATTTAATTGCTAATAAAATACATTTATTTAAATATATCATTTATATTAATATAATAACTATATAGCGGCTGTTTTTTTAAAAAAACGTTAATTTTTTCAGTTTAGACTAATATAATATATATTGAGAAACACATGTATCCAATGATATTCATTGCTATTTTTTACTAATAAAAATACAAATAACAATAATTTAATTGTATAGTAATTATTATTTAGATTTAAACATAATGGTATAACTATTGGGACTAATTAGATCGCTATTATTAGGATCGGCATCCAAACCCGGATGACTGTCCAAAACAATGTCATAGTTTTGTGTCGATTGTAGAAATCGGATCAAAACCAGAAACAGGTCAGCGATGGCCAACTTTTCGCCTAAACATACACGACGTCCGACACCGAAAGGTATGAAAGCTGATTGTTGTAAACGGGTTATCATATAATGGTTGTCACTGTCGAGGAAGCGCTCGGGTATAAACTGATTAGCATTTGTCCAATACTTGTTGCTGTTGTTTCTCAATATAAACCCCTGATAGACAAATACTAACATATTTTTCGGTATCGTATAATTACCTAAAAAAATATATATTTATAATTATATTTTGCAAAAAAATATATTTATAATTATTTTTTGCAAAAAAATATATTTAACATTAAAGAAAATTAGTTTTTATATATATATATAAAAATAATGAAAACCTATTTTACTGTTGACTATTGCTTTACGAACGACACCTATTGGAAGAACATTTCTAAATCTTAATGTTTCCGATATGAATGCCATTACATAATGACATCGATGTCTATCGTCATGTGTTGGCAATCGGTCACCGATTTTGTCCAAAATTTCTTTACGTAATTTTTTTTGAACCATTAAATCATTTGCCAAAAACAATAGTAGCCATTGAAATGTATTATAGGAGGTATCGGTTCCGGCAAAAAATATGTCAAACACAGCCAAACCGAGCTTATCATCCGATAGATAGGATGCCAACGATTGTTTGCTACCTTCCTCTCCCTCCTCCTCCTCCTCCCGGAGCAGTGCATTATTTTTTGCCGCAATCAGTGTATCGCATAAATCTCGTTCAATATTGGGATCGTAATCTTTATAATGATTTTTTAGTTTTTTAATTATAATTTCGCGAACTTCATCTAAAGCTTTAATTAGTTTTTGGAACATTTTATAGTTAATCCATTGAATTATTTTTGAATATTCCCAGAAAGCCATTAGTATTCCCGATTCGTAAATGAAATCTTTTAAAACATATTTGAATTTTTTAAACTCTAGATCATCGATATTATAACTAGTATTTAAAAAATAAAATATAAATATAAAAAATATTAGCAACAATTTGTATACTTTTCATTGAAAGCACTGTTAGCCAAAATGTTTAAAAATGTTAGATATATATAATTTGATGGTTCTATGGGTTTGTTTGGACCAACAGTTTTCAACATAGTTTCCACTGTTTTGTCCACACAATCGACGACTACGTTAACCAATCGTTCATTGTTTGAATATTTTCTAAAATTTATTTTTTTTTGTTATTATTAGTATTATTTAAAAATAAATATTATAAATATTATTTTTTTTAATTTAAAAAATAAAAATCAATAGACACGTACTTAACTGCCGCGTGCGCAACATTTCTACGCGCTACCCAATTGGGTCCGTAATCAGCCATAACGACACCATCACCTATTAATTTTGCTAAATTAAAAAATATATTAATTTTTATTTATTTGTTTTTTTATACTAATAGTGTTTTATACTAATATATATTATTTTAAAAATTACTTCAAAAATATTTAACATTTCTAATATATATATATATATAATCAAAATATAATAGGATTTTAACATTGTATAATACAGTAAAATACAATATACTGCATGTATTATACAAATTTTAAAACTAATAGAATGTTAAAAAAATTACTTTAAAAATACTCAGTAAAATAATATAATTGCTAGAAAATGCATTATTATTATTACTGTTTATTATTATTACTCTCTTTCTCTCTCTCTCTGTCTGTCTGTCTCTCTCTCTCTCTCTCTCTCTCTCTCTCTCTATGACTTAATATAGCAACATGTTGTTACTCAGCTACCATGTTGTCTACCTGCCACCCACCCCCTCCCCCCAAAAAACCTACCATTGCTAACAATATTCGTTTAAAATTTACCAATTAGAAATAACATTTATAAATACAATATAAAAAATATATTACAATTACCAAAATAAGTTTCAGCCCTTCCCGCAAAATTTGATTTATTAAATGCTTCTCTAGCTATGACTGGATCGGTGATCATAATTTGTGGACTGTTTCCCAAATATACGGTAAATATTGGACCATATTTTTTGGCCAATTTTCTCATAATATAATCCCAATGTTGTTGAGTTCTGAATGCTAAAACATATTTGTTTTTGTTTTTTTAAATAAATAAATAAATTACATATTAATTTAGATTACAAAATTATTATTATTATTATTATTATAATTATAATTATAATTAATAATAATAATAATAATAATAATAATAATAATAATAATAATAATAATAATAATAATAATACTAATAGTTGATACTGTAGAGTTAATTTTTATTATTATTATATACAAACTTAATAAATTGCCAATAAATGGTAATGGGAATGGACCGGGAGGTAGACTATAATATTGGTAATAAAATTTTGCCAACTTGTAGACAACATAACCAATTAGTAGACTTATTATTGTTGTTAATATATCCGATATAATCAATGAATATAATTGTCTCAATACAGACATATTGTATATAATATTAACATAAGTTTTAAAAATTTCTTTTAATGAAATAATTATTTTAAGTTGTTTTATATTCTGTATTATAAACACTTATAACTTAAATACTGTGTTTTAGTTGACATAATCTGACGAAGTCTGATAAATTAAAATAGTTTTTAAAAAAAGTTAGAATATTAAATAAAATAAATAACAACTTTAAATTGTTATTTTATTACCAAAAAAATAACATTACTTTACAGATTTATCTAAAAGAAAATAATTTAGAAAAATACTAATATATTAAAATATACTGTATTTATATTTATAATATAATGATTTTTTTATAAAAAAAAACTATACGCATTCATAAGCATATAAATGTTGTATTTTAAACTATATACTAATATAATATGAAAAAGTTAATTAAATTCATTAAAATAATAAATAAAATAATTAACAAGGTTGAATTGTTATTTTATTACTAAAAAAATAACATTACTTTGCAGATTTATCTACAACAGAATAATTTTGAATTACACGTATTCACTATCATATAACTGTTACAATACATAATATATATACAGTATACTATATTTATATTTATAATATAAATTTTTTTTAAAAAAAACACTACACTTATTCACTAGCATATAGATGTAAATTAAATTACACTTATATCGATACATAATATATCAATATAACAAAAATAATAATAAATTCTTAATAAAAAAATACTTAAAATATTAAATAAAAAATATCAATTGATTTATAGATTTAAAATATAAGTTTTTTTTTATTAAAGTAAACTACGAATCAAATTATACCCGAAGATTACGTTACATTGACACACAAATTGTCTGTTAGTTAATACTGGTTGACATTTTATTTAAACGGAAAGGAAAGCTGACTATTAAGGTACAAAACATAAGGAATTGTTTATTTTGTTAAACAGAATCATATGATAGATACCCTACATTTTGTAATCATTTTTTTAAAAAAAATACTTTTTTTTATGTATAGTTCCTATTAATGTGATTGTAGACATTGTCTGCGGTAACTGCATTGTTACAAAAATATGATTACCTTGCAGATTTATCTAAAACAGAATATTTTATAAAAAAAAATAATTATATATTATATGTTTTATTTATAATATTATTATTTTTATAAAACAATACACGTATGCACTATAATATAACTGTAATATATATAATATAAAATAGTTATAGAAAAATTACATAGAATATTAAATAAAATAAAGAACAAGGTAAAATTGTGATTTTATTGTCAAATAAAATAACATTAAATTACAGATTTACATTACATTTACATTACATTTACATTACATTTACATTACATTTACATTACATTTACATTACATTTACATTACATTTACATTACATTTACATTACATTTACATTACATTTACATTACATTTACATTACATTTACATTACATTTACATTACATTTACATTACATTTACATTACATTTACATTACATTTACATTACATTTACATTACATTTACATTACATTTACATTACATTTACATTACATTTACATTACATTTACATTACATTTACATTACATTTACATTACATTTACATTACATTTACATTACATTTACATTACATTTACATTACATTTACATTACATTTACATTACATTTACATTACATTTACATTACATTTACATTACATTTACATTACATTTACATTACATTTACATTACATTTACATTACATTTACATTACATTTACATTACATTTACATTACATTTACATTACATTTACATTACATTTACATTACATTTACATTACATTTACATTACATTTACATTACATTTACATTACATTTACATTACATTTACATTACATTTACATTACATTTACATTACATTTACATTACATTTACATTACATTTACATTACATTTACATTACATTTACATTACATTTACATTACATTTACATTACATTTACATTACATTTACATTACATTTACATTACATTTACATTACATTTACATTACATTTACATTACATTTACATTACATTACATAATCAGGATTTTATAACTAATATAATGATGTCTTTTAAAAAACGTTAAACTTAATCACTTCAGTTGGTTAGAGGTCAGGGCATTGGAATTGGCCGATGATAGACAACGGGCTATAATTGTCAATAATTATGGCCGAGTAGATGACCAGTGTGTCCAACAAATCAGACAATTGTATAATGAATTGAATTTGAAACACGAGTTTCTTGTCTATGCTAACCAAGTGTTTGATGATATTCACAAATTTTGTTTGGATTTCAACGACAATTTGGTCACAAAATTGTTGACCAATTTTGCCGATTTGGTCAAACAATATCTCAATTATGCGGTTAAAGAAGATTCTGTTTTTATATAATTAAATGAGTTAATTATTTTGTTTGTAATTATACTATTAGTAATAACAGCAATTTATTATAATTAATTTTTAATTTTTTTTAATTTACTTTAATAAAATAGTTATTAAATATTGAAGCTTATTATATTATAATAATTAAATATATTAATTATAAATAATTATTTGGAATAAATTAATTAAATTTTTAAAAATGTATATAATATAATAATGTTAATTTGACATTGAAAGTTTTTTTTTCAAGATAAATGACACTATATTATATGATTACCCTGGATAAATCTATCGAAAGTATTGTCAAATGATATATAAACATTGATGACCATTTGTTGGACCGAAATCATATCACCGATAATCTTGTGGTCAGCGATAACCGGGTTATGACGGGCCGACTAATCGCACGGTATTTAAGTGACACAATCGAGACAGTGATTGTAGTGACTATCGGGTAATGTGCGGATTATAGATTTCAATGTCCCGAAATCGGGTCAAATTGATGTTAATATTGCGGAAAAACTGGTCGCCGTTAAAACCCATACCAAAATTCAACGATAAATGTGTCAATTGTTTCATATGTTTTCAATAAATCACTTATAAGTATAAAATTATTATCAATGAAAATATTATAATGAGTTTTATTTCTGAACCGACATTCAATGGTCAATCGTTTCAATTGTTTCAGATCTCTACCCTATCTGTCCAATAATTGACGAAATATTTTATCGGTTATCAAATAATCAGTTAAACAAAGACTAAGTCGACTAAGTTGAGGACATTGGCGACTAAATTGTTTAACAATTAGTTCACCAATAAATTCAATACAATAATCATTTGATGTGAATCTGAGTCGTCTTAGTTGACATAACTTTGATAATGATTTTATAAATAATGATACAAATGATGGCACATCCGTAACGTCTTGAATGGCCAGATCTGTCCAATCGGTTGCCATAAATGGCAGCAAATCGGCCAAAGCTAAACTTCAATGTAATTCAAACTGAATTGAAGCGATTGTATAGTTGTAGGCAAAACACAACTGTTTTCTTAACTAATAAAAAAATCAGAAAAAATCTACTAAACTATAGCCTTTATCAATGATAACGAGTTTTTTTTAATTGCGATAAATATTTTTTCATTTTGTTGGCCACCAATCGATAGTTTTGTCGATGTGTATTGAGTTCAAGTGTCAGCAATTGTTGGCCAAATATTAACAAAAATCGGTCAAAAGCCGGTTCAAACAGTGACCAGTTATAGAGTTTACGATAATTGAAGCCAATATGTTGTAGACTACCGACGGTTTGAATGTTTTACTAATTGGTCGACAAGTTGACAGCCAATGACACCGAAATTGTCATTCAAATTAATTGTTTGAATGTTTGGACACTTTGAATGATTATGACGGCCAGCCATGAAGGAGCCATGCATTTGGACAGAAATAAGACATTGGCCAGAGTTCTGGTATTCATGTATTTCATATAACTATTTTATATTAATAACTAACATAATAGCTATTAATTATTAGTAATAACTAACTTATTAAACTAAAAACAATATTAATTGTGACCATAGATGGCCCACAGATCACGCACACACACATTCACAACATTTAACAAACCCTTCTCTCTCATTGGACGTCAGTTCACTTTTATTCTCTCTCTTGAAACACACTCTCTCATAACAGCTCTCTGATCACTCTCTTGAATCAAACCTCCGATCACTTCACACTTCAATTCAATCACATCTCACTCACTGTTTTCTTGACATTCAACACTTCACTTGAATTTCAATCAATCACTTGACAAAAACTGAAACAAATCAAATTACATTTTTTTAATCAATTTTTAATTATATATATTTTTTTAACAATAAATTGTTTTATCGATCAATTGGTTGTGTCCACTTATTCATCTAATCTCATCCACGGTCACAACTTGGCGCAGTCTTCAAGAATCGAACCACTTCACGACTGAAAAATTTAGACATCAATTCAACAATTCAAGTGAACTCAAGAAAACAAACCTCAACAACAATTGCTCCAAGAATAAATAGCAGACAAAACCGCAGAAACCAACTCAACGACACAATGAACACCAATGAAAAAGACATGGCGTCGCCAAAAGCATTGACTTCCGCTTCCGGTTCACATGGAGGACAAACTCAAACTCGTGGACAACAACAGAGATGAAATGTTAGCGCCAACGCCATACAACACATGGTCTTCAACAACGACAATGAAGAGAACAAACAATCGAATCACAGCAGATCTAGAAACACTGGTCGACTCTGCGATACATTCTTAGGCAGCGATACATTGGTCAAAGCCGATGATTGGTTGGCTCTCTTCACGTTGGTCACACGTGGTTTCTCAGATGACGACCGCATCACAGCACTTGGACGCCATGTCACAGGAGAGGGAATAAAATTTCTGGTGCGTGAAATTGCACCACAAGCCGACTCAATAACATGGGCTGAAGTCAAAGAAAAGATGATGAACCGGTTTGCCCGAGTCATCCGTCACTTATTGACTGAGGCCATGGAACGTGAGTTGAGATCAAACGAATCCATCGAATCGTATTTCAACGACAAGAAACGATTACTGGATTTGGCCGAACAATCTCATTGTTCAATCGACACAACGAAAGTTCTCTCTCAATCAAATGTTGGATCTGTCAAAGAGATTGAACAAGAAATTCAAGTCACCAAAAGTTGCATTCAGCCGACTCACCAACAAATTTCACAAATCACCGACAACACATTCAAAACATCATCTGTTTGTTCAACACTTGATCACAGTGTCAACAAATCAAACAGCAACTGCACTGGTTTCACACCAAAATTTCTGCATTTCGGGTTTTCATCAGCCCTTCCAACTGATGTCACACTTGAAGAGATCAGGACTCAGGCGACATTGAAGTCCAGAAGTCTGCAAAACGAAAGACATGAGAAAACAAAAAACACGTCAACAAACATACCTTTGAAATTGGTAATCAAGTTCGGTATCGATTGCCGGACACTCATCAACAAAGAGTTGGCAAACTTTCAGAACGTTTTTAGGCACCTTGTGTTGTCCTGGAAAAGCTCGGAGATGAATGTCTGCGATCGGATCACATCGACATCAACACATCAACACCCCCCTCGATGACAACACTATTAACACATTTCACAAATAACATTACTTTGCATTAATATATTTTTTTGCAACACTACACGTATTCACTAGTATCTAACTGTTGTAAATATATAATATATATATAAGAAAAAATATTAAATTAATAGTCAATTTTTCTCAAAAAAAACTTATATCAATAAAACTATACTATCTATGTCTATGATATCTGATAGATATAATATGGATAAGTATGTTAAATATTAATATTAAATATAATAATCTGTATAAAAAAATTAAACATAAAAATATTGTAAACTATTTAATAAATAATTTATTTGGAATACAAAGAGAAATACCAGAAATATTTGAATCAATGATGTCTAACGATATGCCAAAGTTTTGGTCGCTGTTTAAGAAGATTATCGGACGAGTATTGGATAATATGTTGAGTCCGGATATTCAACAATTGAGACCACAATTGGAGAAAATGATTGACTATTTCTTTAGTCAATACAATACCGTAGACTACGGCCGGATGTATATACTAGGCTATAGGCTGTTGACTAACGGTAAGTGTAATCAACAATCGGTCGGTGCGGTCATCGACAGCAATAACAAAGACGAAGACAATGAACCGGTCTATGCAATGGCAGTGGCGGTTGAATTGGTAACAATGAGTTTGTTTTTGTTGGACGATATTATGGACAAATCGACACAAAAATTTGGTAAACCCTGTTGGTATACATTGGTATAAAATAATACATATTCTATTTATTATATTATATATATATATATTGCATTACTACTGTATTAAAAAAATATACTAAAAAATTATTTTGTTTTTTTTGTAGCCATCGGTGGGAATGTCAGCTATAAATGACAGCACAATAATGTTAGCAATTGTTGACAAAATAGCGGAAATCTATTACAAAAATCATTGTAATTATGTCAAAATCGTGCACTGTTTACATGAGGTTTGTTTGTTTTATATATAGAGTGTATATATTACACACTTAGCTAATTTACTTACCCAATTATTTAAAACAAATTTATTATTATTATTAAAAACTTAGTTTAATTTATTATTGTCTACGATAATTGCTTTTTTAAATCTAATAAAACAATTATTATTATTATTATTTTCAGTTTATTGAGAAGATATCCATAGGACAGGCATTGGATATGACAAACAGTGTTATTACTAACAAATCAATTAAAATAACTGATTATAATATGGATTTATACAATAAAATTAACAAGTACAAAAACTCTTTTTCAGGGTTTGTCTATCAATTTAAATTAGGTAATTATTTTTTTTGTTCACAAAAATATATATTAAATATAAATCTAATAGTTTCTGAAACTCATACGATATAATTAATTTTTAAAAAATTGTGAATAAATATGTTTAACATTTTTTTGTTAAACACAAAATTTGATTAGCAATGATCATAACAGATAGTAAATTGGATAATAACGAGTCGGACATTGTTGAAGAGTTTCTAATACAAACTGGTATATTGTGCGGCGCTATGAATGACTATCAGGACTATTATGAAGAGTCAACCGGAACCGATATACAGGAAGGCAAATGCACCTGGTTGTTTGTTAGGGCATTGCAATTGGCTAATGATAGACAACGTACGGAACTGTTGGCCAACTATGGACACAACGACACCGATCGTATCGAAATCATTAGACAACTGTACTCTGAGTTAGACATACCGGCAGAGATGTTAGTGTTTGCCGACTCTGTGTTCACTGGTTTTAGACAACTGGCCACCGGTTTAGGTAACAAACGTATTGTCGATATTGTCGATAACTTTGCCAACGCGGCCAAAGAGTATGGCAAAAATGTTTGTCATTTATTTCAATAGTTACAAACAGTTTATATAATTAGTTTATTATATATATATATTTATATATATTTTACCAGTGTTTTAAAATATTGTTTTCTAAATTTTAGTTTATTAATTTATAATAAATACATGTAATACAAATTAATTTTTACATTTATTTTCTAAATTAAAAATTCTATATAATATTTAAATAATTTAATAAAAAAATGTTTTTTCAATTTCATTTTTATTAATATTTTATTATAAATTAAATAAAATAATAGAATAATAAATAATAATAATAATAAAATAAAATAGAGATTAAATGATTATTTAAATACTAATATTAAAAAAACTAATATAATATATTTACAATTTAATGATTTTTTTTAAATTCGCGTATTCACTAACTGTTGTATTTTATAATTCTATATAATATATAATTTTAATTTATTATATATTTATATTTATATTTATATTATTATAATTTTTAAAAAAACTACACGTATTCACTAACATATAGCTGTTTTAGTTTATAATTCTATATAATATAAAATATTAATTTGATTAAAATATTAAATAAAATAATAAACAAGGTTAAATTGTTATTTTATTGCCAAAAAAATAACATTACATTGCAGATTTAACTACAACAGAATAATTTAGAAAAATACTAATATAATATATTTATATTTATATATAATATAAAATAGTTAATTAATTTACTTAAAATATTAAATAAAATAATTAACAAGGTTAAATTGTTATTTTATTTCCAAAAAAATAACATTACTTTGCAGATTTATCTACAACAGAATAATTTAGAATAATATTAATATAATATAATATATTTATATTTATATTATTATGATTTTTAAAAAAACTACACGTATTCACTAACATATAGCTGTTTTAGTTTATAATTCTATATAATATAAAATATTAATTTGATTAAAATATTAAATAAAATAATAAACAAGGTTAAATTGTTATTTTATTGCCAAAAAAATAACATTACATTGCAGATTTAACTACAACAGAATAATTTAGAAAAATACTAATATAATATATTTATATTTATATATAATATAAAATAGTTAATTAATTTACTTAAAATATTAAATAAAATAATTAACAAGGTTAAATTGTTATTTTATTGCCAAAAAAATAACATTACTTTGCAGATTTATCTACAACAGAATAATTTAGAATAATATTAATATAATATAATATATTTATATTTATATTATTATGATTTTTTTTAAAAACTACTCTGCTAATTCACTAGCATATATTTTTTGTATTTTATACTATATATATAATATAAAATAATTAATTAATTTGATTTGAATATTAAATAAAATAAATTAAAAGGTAAAATTTGTATTTTATTGCCAAAATAATAACATTACTCTGCAGTTTTATCTACAACAGAATAATTTAGAAAATACTAGATGTTTATAATATAATGATTTTTATAAAAAAAACTACACGTAATCACTAGCATATTGTATAACTGTTGTATTTTATAATTTTATATTTTTTTAAAAATAGGATTAGTATTATAAAAAGTTTCTTGAATTTAACTTACAGTATATAAAATATACTGTTTATATTATATACTGTTTGATTAATGGTCACAAGTTAAATCATAAGCTTTTATACACACTAAACACATAACACAATACAATTCAAGATTACAATTAACTTATTTATTAACAACAAAAAAATATACAACACATATATATAATAATAATAATTACTTTTTATTTATGATTACTTAGACTATTAAATTATGAGTTTCCCACAGTCCCATCCGGGGAACTCATATTAAAAACACAATAAAATTAAATAACACATTGTTAGGAAAACTATTAAAACTAATAGACTAATAAAAATGCATAAAATACAAACAAACAGATTATAAAATAATTTTTTAACTAAAAAAATATTTATATAATAATTCTGGCGATTATTTTGGACGACCTTTTATCTTGAATATATAGACAAATATAATTAAATAATATATTTTCTTTAAATTTAATTATTATTATTATTAGAATTTACTTTTTAGTATAATTTTATACTCATTAGGATTAATTAGATAACCGGAATTTGGGTCAACACTCAAATCTCTATGACTGTCCAAAATTATGTCATAGTTTTGTGTCAATTGTATAAAACGGACCAAAACCAGAAACAGGTCAGCGATGGCCAACTTTTCACCCAAACATTTACGACGTCCCACACCAAAGGGCATGAATGCCGGCGAATGTGTTGTTATATAATGGCCGTCACTGTCGATGAAACGGTCGGGTAGAAAGTGGTCGCCATTAGTCCAGTGCTTGTCATTACTGTTTTTCAATATAATTCCCTGATATGTGTATACAGTTATGCCTTTAGGTATTGTATAGTTTCCTAAATAATTAACAACAAAAAAAAACCAAAAATATTAGTAATAAATTATTTTTTAAAAAACCAAAAATATTAACCTATTTTACTGGTTATTATTGAACGATGGGGTAAACCATAAGGCGCTACGTTTCTGAATCTTAATGTTTCGGCAATAAATGCCATCACATAATGACATTGCTGTCTGTCCTGATGTCGGGGTAAACGGTCACCGATTTGGCTAATGATCTCATCTCGTAATCTCTTTTGCATCCGTGGATAATACGACAACAATAGTAGTATCCATTGAAATGTTTTTTCCGATGTCTCTATTCCGGCAAAAAACATGTCAAACACAGTCATACCTAGTTTATCATCTGTAAGATATGGTGCCGACTCACGGCCCTCCCGGAGCGCATCATCTTTGGCGGCAATCAATGCATCGCAAAAGTCTCGTTCAACTTCCCGATCGTAATCAATGTAATGCTGTTTAAACTTATTATAAATAATATCTCGCATTTCATTGTAAGCATTACTCATTTTGTTGGTCAGTTTATAGTCAATCCATTGCAATGGTTTAATATATTCAGTTAACATTAATCTTAGATTCATTTCTTCAAATATATCTTTCAATACATATTTGAATTTTTTGAACACAATATCGTCAAAATTGTAACTAATTTAGATTTAATGTAATTAATAATAATAATAATAATGTTTATTATTTTATTATATTATTTTTATTTACCTTTCATTGAAGGCACTGTTGGTCATTATGTTCAGAAAAATTAGATATATATAGTCGACTGGTTTAATAGGTTTGTCCGGACCCTCCCTTTTCAACATTAATTCAACTGTTTTGTCCACACAATCGACGGCTACATTGACTAGACGTTCATTAATTGAATATTTCCTAATATTTTGTATAGATTTTTATATTATAAGTTAAAATTATGATTATTATATTTTTTTATTAAAATTATTTGATTTTAATTTATAGACACAAACATTGCTGCCGTATGAGCTACACGTCTAAGTGCTTCCCAACTGTTACCGTAATCATCCATCATTACATCATTAGCCAACAAAGTTGCTATAATAATAATAATACTTTTAATAATTTTTATAGTTAGGGTTCGGACAAATTTCCTCCCTAGTTTTATTTTCCAATTAAGTTTGTAACTATACTTTAACTTAAATGATTTAAATAAAAATATATATATATATATTGAAAATAAGATAATATTATAATTTTATTTTTCTAACACATTTTTAAATTAACTTTTTAATCAAAATAGTTTTTTAATGATATAATAATTACCAAAATATGTTTTCGGTCGTCCGGCAAAATCAGTTTTACTAAACACTTGTCTAGCAATGTCTGCGTCGCTAATCATTACTTGTGGTGTATTACCCATATATACAGTAAAAACTGGTCCATACTTTTCGGACAATTGTCTATAAATGTCATCCCAAAAGGTTTTTGTTTGAAAAGCTTTAATTTATCAAAAACAAACAAATAATGTAAAAATGTGTAAACTTTTTCTAATTAAAAAAAATACAATTAAAATATATTATCAGTTTTACTTAACATATTGCCTATAACTGGCAATGGAAATGGACCGGGAGGCAAACTGTAGTATAAATGATAAAACATTGCCAATTTGTACACCAAATAGCCGATTGTTAAACTTAGTACAAGTGTCCATAAATGTGTTATAATATAAAAACTAATTATTTGCGTCCATAAAAACATATTTACAAAAAAAAACACTATTTATTACAATTATATTTTGTTGATTTTGTATTTATTGTATATATAGATATATAAGGTTTTATTGTATTTGTAATAAAATTTAAAACATATAAAGAATATATTAATCAGGATTAGTAATCAATATTTATTTTTACGCATTTTATATCAATGATAATGTATGAAATAATAAAATAAAAAAAAATTAAAACTAATAGAAATAGTATAGTATAATAGCAAGTAGTTAACAGAATATTTTGTTATTTATTTAACTACAAATCAATTTTAGTTTTATTGAATTTTGTTGTAAAAAAACAAAATATTTTATTTTTACATAAAAAATAATGTTTTTCTTATCATTGATTTTTTTCAGTTTTATTTTATTGATATATGCTATCATTAGAAAAATCTATAAAGAATATGATCACCAGAGTCGACTGCCTCCCGGTCCCCGAAATTGGCCACTAATTGGAAACGTTTTATCGGTTATGGGCGCCAATTCAAAAACTTTTGTCAATTGGTCCAAAAAGTATGGACCAGTAATTGGGTAAATTAATTATTTATTTTTTTATAATTAAAACTAATCAAATAAATAAAAATTTATTAATATTTAAAAAAAATTAATTATGTATATATTTAATTATGTATTATTTTGTATATATATATATCTGAAAAACAGTATACAAATGGGTTCGTCTCCCACTGTATTACTTAACGATTGGCCGACAATTAAAGATGGCCTCTCACAGGACACAAATCTTGACCGACCCGTTGATAATATTTTTTCATCAATTGGTCCAAAGGGTTAGTGTTTTTTTGTTTGTAATAAAAATTGTTTATTAGCTGTTATTATCAAGTTTTGGCAGAAACAATATGTTTGTAAAATACAATGTATAATACACAACCATTTTTGAATACAAATAAAGTTTAGCGCCACCTAGTGTTATTAAATAAATAATTTTAAGATAAATAAAGTTAGTAAAACAATATGTACTTATATTATAAAGTTTTTATTAATATTTTTTTAAAAATTTTGTAAATTGACCCCTGTCTAGACCCCCTCCCTAAATCCAAAACCTATATTAGCTCTGATATATATATTATATATATTATATATATATATATTTAATATATAAATATTTTGTATATATCTGCATACTTACAGTAGTTTGTAAAATATATACTTAAATATAATGTTTAAATTTATCAAAATTTTTATTTATTTAATTTGTATTAAATATTTAAAAAAAAAATTATTATACAATTTTCAAAAATCTAATTAATAAATAGTCTTAATTTAATATTAAATATATATTATTTATATAAATTTTTATATATTTTTTATATTATATAATTTTTTTAGGATTAAGTTCAATGAACGGACAGGAATATAGAGAACAGAAACGATTTTTTTTATATTATTTTAAAACCAAAAGATCGGGAAAGACATCGTTGGAAGACCTGATAGTCAATGAGATTAACCGGTTGTGCGATATAATCGATACGACTACTACTGGTGGTTGTGAAACAAAAATCCGATCCTTGTTTGGCATCAGTTTGTTTAACATTGTCAGCCGATTTGTATTTGACAAACAATTTGATTATACAGAAAAAATGATGAAACTAATTGACCAATTGGTTTGCGCCAACCCTACACTGGCGTTGAACACTGTTTTTGCACAGTTTCCGATTATTAACAGATTTTTGGTCAAATATTTTAAATTTTTGTTACCAGAGTCAGCCAATGGACGAGCAATGGATGAAATTATTTTACTAATAAAGTATATGAAAATTTTTAATAATTTTAAAATGTAATAAATATTATTTAATATATATATATATTAAAAATTATTTTTAGAAATGAAATTAAATCTCACGAGAAAACAGTGGATACAAGTAATGCTCCCAAGGATTATATCGACGCCTTTATTAGTGAATCCCGTAAACACAATAACAGCAATAAAAGTTCATTTAATTGTAAAATTTATTTCAATAATTTAATTGATTTTATTAAAAAAAAATATTTATATTTAATACTAATAATATAACTGTATTTATACTAATAATTATTTATTTAGATAATAATTTACTGGGCGTTTCATTTGATCTCTACGGCGGTTTAGTTTTATCTGTTTTAAGTGCTATTGAATGGTCGATAGTATTGTTGGCCACATATCCCGATGTTCAGCAAAGAATATACGGAGAGATTGTTTCAATTATAGGTACAACCGATAGACCGGTTTATTCGCAAAGAAAACATATGCCATACGTTCAGGCATTCATGTATGAAGTGCTTAGATTTAGATCAGTCACACCATTGAATTTAACCCGAATGTATGAATTTTATTAATAATTTTTTCAAATTTATTATTTAATAACTTAATTTATAGCTAATATATATATATATATATATATATATATATATTATTGAATATTATATTTTCTATTCACTAATCCATATAAACAATACTAAAATATTTTTACTCTATTTAAAAAAAACAAACAAATTACTAATTAAGTAATTTTTAAGCATTATATAAAAATTAATTAACGGTAAAATTAATTATTTACGGGAAAAAAACTAGTTCAACTGCTGACAGTATAATCGGTGGACACTTTATACCAAAAGGTACTCATATATTGGCCAACTTTTGGTCAATTCAAAACGATCCGAAACTATGGGCCGAACCGAACCGCTTTCGACCCGAAAGATTTCTCATAGACGGCGAAACCAATTTTGCTAAACCCGAACATTTTAATCCATTTTCAATTGGTATTAAATAACATATAAATATACTTAAAATACATTATATTAATATTATTATTATTATTAGATTAAACAAATAATACTATTTCTATAAATTATAATATTATAGGCAAGAGATCGTGTCCGGGTGAGGTGTCGGCACTGATTGAAATGTTTTTGTATATTGTTTTGTTGGTTCAAAAATATGAAATCAAATCAACAAAAAATACGGACACAACACTTGATTATGTCTTTCAATTATCAGTCGCTCCTAAACGAGAACCTGTAGTCTGTTTTGTTAAACGTTTCTAAACTAAACTAAATATATTTGATTTTGTGTTTATCTTATAAACTATTTATATAATATTAGTTTTTATTGTAAAAATAACTAAAATTACAAAATTATAATAAATATAAACTAATAGAGTATTACTCAAATAAAATTATTATTAAAAGTTATGTTAAATTTATTAAAATAATTTTTATACGTAATAAACATTTAATTAATAATATTTATAGTACTGTAAGTAATTTACTTTCTTATTCCCATTAAAACTATTATTTATTGCAAAAAAATAATATTACTTTAAGATTTATATACAAAATAATTTTTGAAAAATACTAATATATTATAATATACTGTATTTATATTTATAATATAATGATTTTATTTTTTTTTAAAAAAAACTATACGTATTCATAAGCATATAAATGTTGTTTTTTATACTATATATAATATAAAAAAGTTAAATATTAAATAAAATAATTAACAAGGTTAAATTGTTATTTTATTGCCAAAAAAAATAACATTACTTTGCAGATTTATTTACAAGAAAATAATTTATAAAAATACTAGTATAATATAGTTATATTATAATGATTTTTTAAAAACACTAAATGTATTCACTAGAATATAGCTATTGTATTTTATAATTATATATAAAAATTAAAATAAATAACAAGATAAAATTGTTATTTTATTGCCAAAAAAAATAACATTACTTTGCTGATTTATCTTCAACAGAATAATTTAGAAAAATACTAATATAATATATTTATAATTATATATAATATAAAATAATTAATTAAATTCATTAAAATCTTAAATAAAATAATTAACAAGGTTAAACTGTTATTTTATTGCTAAAAAACATAACATTACTTTGCAGATTTATCTACAAGAAAATAATTTATAAAAATACTAGTATAATATAGTTATATTATAATGATTTTTTAAAAACACTACACGTATTCACTAGCATATAGCTATTGTATTTTATAATTATATAGTTAATTAAATTTATTAAAATATTAAATAAAATAATTAACAAAGTTAAACTGTTATTTTATTGCGAAAAAATAACATTACTTTGCAGATTTATCTACAACAGAATAATTTTGAACTACACGTATTCACTATCATATAACTGTTTTAATTTATACAAAAATTCTACATAATATACATAGAAAAATAAGTTTTTAAAAATATACAATAAAAATATCTATTGATTTATACATTTAAAATATAATAAACTTTATATTAAACTAAAATATGAATCAAATTATACCCGAAGATTACGTTACATTGACACACAAATTGGATTCATTTCATTTAGAGTCAATAAATTTGATTTTAAATGAAAAAAGGTTTTTATCGATAAAAACTTTTTATTTTATTTTGTAATCAATTTTTTTTTAAAATACTGTTTTTATTTATAGTTCCTATGATGTGATTATAGACATTGGCTGCGGTGACGGCAGTGTTACAAAAATGTTGTCAACCCAAGTACCCCATAAACAATTGGTAGCCATTGATGTGGATCAAGGATTGCTAAAGTATGCCAATACCTATAATAACAGTCCGACCATTGAGTATGTCCAGCAAGACATGACAGTCGGGTGGCCAGAGTTGTGTCCCAGACTTAGGGAAATGGATGGACGGGTGGATCTTGTATTTACCAGTTTTATGCTACACTATTGTAGTCGGGATAAGCGGCAAGTAATGGCCATATTTAGACAATTATTGAAATCGGATGGACTATTCTATGGCAATATATTGATTAATCAGGATTTGAATAGAAAATTGTTAGGCAAAGGCAAGGAAAGGGATCCAAAACAACAATGGTATCCATCACTGGACAAACAGACTGACAATTGGCTAAAAAGTTTAACAGATAATGGATTTATGATAGAAAAGTCAAAACTAATTGAATTGAATGTCGGGATGAATCGCAAACAGATTATAGGTATTAAAATCTATTTATTTTATTAGTATTTAAATTAATTAATTAATAATTTTGTTTTTTTGTTGAAAATTTTTTAATTAAAACAACAACAAAATCAATAGACTTTATGCCAGTAGTGGTTGACTGTTATCGTTGCTATTTCCCGGACAGCCAACAGTTTGACGCCGAAGTTGGCGACCACTTGTGGGACACTGTGTTTGACGCCTTTTTTAGTCCACCCGATGCTGAGCCCAATCCTAGCGCGTGGACTAAATTTTTGGCCGACAATACTATTACAGAATTGCATTACTATTTTCACTGTTTACGAGTTATAGCCATAAAAAAATAATTAACTAATTTTTTATAAAATTTATTTAATTAAATAAAATTATTATATAATATATTTTATAAGTTATATACTATATATTATATACTATATTAATATATAGTATATAAAGTATTAAAACAATATGTAATTTGTAAGCAATACTGCTGTAGTTTAAAAAAAATATTTATTACTAAATAGTTAATATTATTAGTAAATTATTTATGACTTATATTAGTATAAATTAGAAAATTTAACAGAATATTTAATCAATTCAATCAAGTATTTTTAAAATTGTTATACTATTGACAAATAGGACTTAAATAATGTATTTTATTTTATATTATTTACTAACTAATAAAATAAAGCATTTATAATTTTTTTTAAAAAATATTTTTCTTTTAAGTTATTTTTGACCTTATTATAGCATCAAATGTATGATATTGCTGTTATATACACTATAAACCTTAAAAATCTTATCAATGTCAAAATCTTGACAATGATAACCCTATTTTTTGGAATTAAAATATAAGTATAATATATAAGAATAATAAAAATAGTTTATTAAATTTACATTTTGACGTCTTTAATAAAGTTATAATGATGATTAAACAAAACTTTACCAAAAATAATTAGCAAATTTTTCTTTATTAATAACTATTAACATAAAATATGAAGGAGAAATGTTAATATATGGTGTAAAATATTGCAATATTAAACGCGTACTGTATCTGAATTCTATATTTTCGTCCTACTGTCCGTCTGTCTGCATTTTATTGAATTTTGAAATTATGGCTTTATATTTTATACTTTAGTATAAGCATACAATAAAATAATAAATATATGAAAGATCTGCATTAAAATTTTGATAACTATCACGTGTCTATTTACAAACAAGTTGATCGGCTTTTATGGCGATTTTGTTAACCATTAAATTTCAGTAGAAACGGACGTTTGTTGTGTGACTCGTGATTGATTTGTTCTGTTTTTTTAGTTTAACTGTTTGTCGTCATTGTGGGCGTATTTCAGGTTCTTAATCGGGTGCATGTATGATAATGTTATCGAGATATTTCATTACGCCATTGTACAAAATTCAAGATATAAGCAAAAGTCAGCACAGGTGCCGTCACCTATAATCAATGGCTTTGGAGAGTCCTTGAAGACGTGCGCGTGCACTTTGAGTGTAGTTTTGTTTATTTAAAAAATAATAGGCGACCGTCGGAATTTGTATTCCCATTGATTTCTTCAACGGAGATAAAGGTTGGCGCGTCTAGCGATTTGTTTAGAACTCTGGCGAAAGCGGTGCTTATTATGTTAATGGTTGCGCCAGAGTCGATGACAGCACGTGTAGGAACTACGTTGACCCGCACCGCTATCTCCGTTAGTGAAAACAGACCAAGTCGTTCCCTGAGACGTATGATGAACAGCTTCGTTACTTTGATTTTCAGATTCGTTTGTAAAGTATGAGACTTGAGATTAAGGATTTACGTTTAATCTATATGACGGATAAGTTGTCTGAACGGATTGTTTGTAAATTGTTTTTATGTTGTAACTTTTGTACAAGGCAACTGTCTATGTCTGCCAGACAGTGATTCACGCTTGTGAACATTTCCCGAACGGTTGTGCTGGTTGCTTTTGAACATCCAATTGTTTAATTGATTGCACTGCCATTGCGTATGTCTGTCGACTAGATTTGGGCGTTGATTATTAGTTTTGTATTGATTCGCTTATCAACATCGTGACGACAAAGTCGCGATGATTCTAGAAGCTTGGCTAATGTTAGCCAATTAATGTGAATAATTTTTGTGATTAATAAATGTGATTAATAACATTTTTTATTAATAAAACTTAAAATATAAAATACTTGTAAAATAGTAAACGAAACTGAATCAGTCACAATCCTTATATAAGGACTTATGGAGTACCATGGGTAGATATCAAACCGGTATGAAAAGGCTTAGTGTTTTGGGATGGGGTGACATCTATTGGCATCAATATTTTTATTCTGTATTATTTGATACCCCACATTAGAGGGAGGAACCGAAACCAAAACGGTTTTTTCACGGTTTTGGTTTTTTTCTGTTTTGGTTTCGGTTCTTGTTTTTAGCTTTCGGTTTTAAAACGGGTTCGGTTATAAAAACGGTTTTAATTAAAAACTGATTTGAGTTTAAATTAATATCACAAATAAAATTAGAAATACTGTTGTTAATATTATTAAATATGTTTATTAAAAAACTATTATTACTTTATATTAATATAATTATTGCATTTAAAAAATACTTATTCATAACTTTTAATTATTACTATTAATGATTATTATTTTTAATCATCTATTAACTAAAATTTATTTATTTTTAATTAATTATTAAATTAGTTATAAAATTATATTTATAAGTTTATATATTACAATAAATATAATAACTATAATTTATACTAATTAAATTGTAACCGTATTTTATAATAAATAAAAATATGAAAATCAATTTTTTAGATTTTAAGTCCATTTTTTACCCCCTTAATATTATTGACGTTATTTATGTAAGATTACGGTTCGGTTCCGGTTTCATTCGGTTCCTAAGTTTACTTACGGTTCAGGATTTTCAAATTTTTTGGTTTCGGTTCGGTTGCGGTTCCTGTTTTTGAGATACGGTTCGGTTTCGGTTCCAAAAATTCTTCGGTTCCCCCCCCTTTACCCCACATGACTAGTTGAGTTTATTTTATTTAAACTGAATCATTTGATTTTACTTTAATTTTTAATTCAGGTTAGAAGTTCGTATGGAAATGCTTTCTAGCATTCTTAACTGGTTTTTATAATAATAAATTCTATATAAATAGGTTCTATAGTTTCAATGTAAGATATAACAAATATTAATAATTTTATTAAATTAATAATCAGTTTTATTAACAACAAAAAAACTTTATATATTAATTTATAATATCAATAAAACTATACTATTGAATAATGTCTGTTAGTTTTAAGGAACAATTGTATTTTAATAAGTAAGTAAAGTAATTGACATTGGTCAAATTAATTATAATTAATAATTATTATTATTAACTTTAATAATAGCAATACAAACGAATCGTTTGTATTAATTTGTTTTAAACAACAATCGGAAAAATTTTGGTCAATGTTTGACAAAATTGTTGATAAAGTGTTGGAAAACATTATGACAACCAATGATGAGACAGTGGCTGAACAGATGAAACCACATTTGCAACAAATCATAGGCTATTATAAGGGATCAAACACTTTGAATCCGTTTGGTTTCGGACAAGTAATGACCTATAGTTTACTTACGGGTCATATGCCCAGTGATCCACTGTTTGATACAAATGTCTATGCATTGGGTTGGGTGGGCATAATGTTGTCCAACTATTATTTCCTGTTGGACGACATTATGGATAACTCAACTAATAGATTGGGCAAACAGTGTTGGCATACATTGGTAAGTATACTATTAGTGTTGAACAATAACTAATGAATGATATACTAAATTACTTTATTTTATATCATTGGTTGTAATCAGCCATCGGTAGGTTTATCGGCACTAAACGACAGTACATTATTGCTGTCGGTTATACAGAAAATTATTCGACTTTACTATGAAAGTCATCCATACTATGTAAATATGGTTAAACTAATGACCCAGGTAAATTAATTGAAAAAATTATTAAATTATAATATATTAAAAGTTTTAATTTATAATATTTATATATACATAATATAGCTAATTGGTAATATATCATTAGGACAACAATTGGATATGATATACTCACAAATGCATGAATCAGAAAATTTTGAACATTTTACAATCAAACGCTATGTTAATAAAAATAAATATAAAAATGCATATTTTGGATTACTTATGCAATTCAAATTTGGTTTGTTTTTATTTTTTATATTAATATACTGGATATATATATATATATTATATATATACTATCTTAACTATCAATAGGATTGTACGCTTCGGGTCGGGATTGTATTGAACACCAAGAAATAGTTGAAGAAAAGTTAATACTGTTGGGTGTATTGGATGGCGCTATCAATGATTATGAAGACCTGAACAAAGAGGGCGGAACTGATATACAAGAGGGTAAGTTCAGTTGGCTAGTGGTCAGGGCATTGGAATTGGCAGATGATAGACAACGGGCTATAATTGTCGATAACTATGGCCGAGTAGATGACCAGTGTGTCCAACAAATCAGACAATTGTATAATGAATTGAATTTGAAACACGAGTTTCTTGTCTATGCTAACCAAGTGTTTGATGATATTCACAAATTTTGTTTGGATTTCAATGACAATTTGGTCACCAATTTGTTGACCAATTTTGCCGATTTGGTCAAACAATATTTCAATTATGCGGTTAAAGAAGATTCTGTTTTTATATAATTAAATGATTTAATTATTTTGTTTATAATTATAATATTAATAATAACAACATTTTAGTATAATTCATGTTTTATTTTTTTAAAATTTACTTTAATAAAATAGTTATTAAATATTTGATGTTTATTTATTTATTTAAATATTAATTATATATATATATATATATATTACTTAATTTTTTACTTTTTTAGCTATATAAGTTTTAAGTTTTTAATTTATTTTTTTTTTTGAAACTGCGTTCAATGTCAGTATTGGTTTTGCTAGCAATCAATTTGTCAATCTTTGGGAGCATTTAATTTTATTTCTAGTTTAAAGTTTTTTTTCAATATAATTAACACTATATTATATGATTACCCTGGATAAATCTATCGAAAGTATTGTCAAATGATATAAAAACATTGATGCCCATTGGTTGGACCGAAATAAGATCACCGATTATCTGGTGGTCAGCGATAACCTGGTTAAGACATCCGACTAATCTCACGGTATTTAAGTGACACAATCGGGACAGTGACGATCGGATTATAGATTTCAATGACCCGAAGTCAGGACAAATTGATGTCAATATTGCGGAAAAACTGGTCGCCGTTAAAACCCATACCAAAATTCAACGATAAATGTGTCAATTGTTTCATATGTTTCAGTAAATCACTTATAAGTATAAAATTATTATCAATGAAAATATTATATTTAGTTTTATTTCTGAGCAGACATTCAATGGCACCGAAATTGTTATTTGAAATTAATTGTTTGAATGTTTGGACACTTACGATAGAATCGTCCTTTTACCAAGCTGACTTACTGTTTGTATGTGCTATACGCATGCTATGGGTAATAATACAAAAAAAGGGGACAGGGTCTCCAAAAAGTGTACCTTACATGCTATGTGACGTGCACTATAAATCTTGGTCCTTTTTATACTATCTACAGCAGATGTTATCAGATGATTATACGGTCCCTTATTTCAAATATTTTTTCATATAATCAAATATAAATAAAAATTTTTTAAGCTTTTTTAAATCTAATAAAACAATTATTATTATTATTATTTTCAGTTTATTGAGAAGATATCCATAGGACAGGCACTGGATATGACAAACAGTGTTATTACTAACAAATCAATTAAAATAACTGATTATAATATGGATTTATACAATAAAATTAACAAGTACAAAAACTCTTTTTCAGGGTATGTCTATCAATTTAAATTAAGTAATTATTTTTTCTTGTTTACAAAATAATATTAATTAATATAAATCTAATAGTTTCTGAAACTCATACGATATAATTAATTTTTAAAAAATTGTGAATAAATTTGTTTAACATTTTTTTTGTTAAACACAAAATTTGATTAGCAATGATCATAACAGATAGTAAATTGGATAATAACGAGTCGGACATTGTTGAAGAGTTTTTAATACAAACTGGTATATTGTGCGGCGCTATGAATGACTATCTGGACTATTATGAAGAGTCAACCGGAACCGATATACAGGAAGGCAAATGCACCTGGTTGTTTGTTAGGGCATTGCAATTGGCCGATGATAGACAACGTACGGAACTGTTGGCCAACTATGGACACAACGACACCGATCGTATCGAAATCATTAGACAACTGTACTCTGAGTTAGACATACCGGCAGAGATGTTAGTGTTTGCCGACTCTGTGTTCACTGGTTTTAGACAACTGGCCACCGGTTTAGGTAACAAACGTATTGTCGATATTGTCGATAACTTTGCCAACGCGGCCAAAGAGTATGGCAAAAATGTTTGTCATTTATTTCAATAGTTACATACAGTTTATATAATTAATTTATTATATATATATATTTATAAGTGTTTTAATATATTGTTTTCAAAATTTTTTGTTTATTACTTTAGAATAAATGCAGTTAAATACAAATTAATTTTTACATTTATTTTCTAAATTAAAAATTATATATTATATTTAAATAATTTAATTAAAAACAAATGTTTTTTTCAATTTCATTTTTATTAATATTTTATTATAAATTAAATAAAGTAATAGAATAATAAATACTAATAATAATAAACTAAAATAGAGATTAAATTATTATTTAAATACTAATATTTTAAAAAAACTAATATAATATATTTACTATTTAATGATTTTTTTAACTTCACGTATTCACTATCATATAGCTGTTTATTAAATTTATAAAATAGTTTATTAAATTACTATTGTCATTTTATTGCTAAAAAAAATAAAATTACTTTGCAGATTTAAGTAATACACAATAATTTAGAAAAATACTAATATAATATATTTATATATGATTTGAAATAGTAAATTAAAACATTTAAAATAATAAAAAAATAATTAACTATGTTAAATTGTTATTTTATTGCTAAAAAATAAAATTACTTTGCAGATTTAAGTAATACAGAATAATTTAGAAAAATATTAATATAATATATTTATATTATAATGATTTTTTTTAAAACTACACGTATTCACTATCATACTCTATAACTGTTGTATTTTTATAATTTTATAGTTTTTAAAAATAAGATTAGTATTACAAAAAGTTTCTTGAATGTTACTTACAGTATATAAAATATACTGTTTATATTATATACTATTTGATTAGTGGCCACACGTAAAGCTTTTATACACACTAAACACATAACACAATACAATTCAAGATTACAATTAACTTATTTTTTTAACAAAAAAAATATACAACATATATATATAATAATAATAATTACTTTTTATTTATGTTTATGTAATATTTATTTACTTAGACTATTAAATTATGAGTTTCCCACAGAATATCCGGGGACACATATTAAAAACACAATAAAATTAAATAACTATTATTAGGAAAAATATCAAAACTAATAGACTATAAAAATGCATAAAATACAAACAATCAGATTATAAAATAATTTTTTATTAAAAGATTATTTATATGATAATTCTGGCTATTATTTTGGACGACCTTATATCTTGACTATATAGACAAATATAATTATATAATATATTTTCTAAATTTAAGTATTATTTTTATTATTATTATTATTATTAGAATTTAGTTTTTAGTATAATTTTATACTCATTAGGATTAATTAGATAACCGGAATTTGGGTCAACACTCAAATCTCTATGACTGTCCAAAATAATGTCATAGTTTTGTGTCAATTGTATAAAACGGACCAAAACCAGAAACAGGTCAGCGATGGCCAACTTTTCTCCCAAACATTTACGACGTCCCACACCAAAGGGTATGAATGCCGGCGAATGTGTTGTTATATAATGGCCGTCACTGTCGATGAAACGGTCGGGTAGAAAGTGGTCGCCATTAGTCCAGTGCTTGTCATTACTGTTTTTCAGTATAATTCCCTGATATGTGTATACAGTTATGCCTTTAGGTATTGTATAGTTTCCTAAATAATTAACAAACAAAAAAAAAACAATAATATTAATAATAAATTATTAATTTTGTTTATTTAAAACAAAACAATACAAAAACATTAACCTATTTTACTGGTTATTACTGAACGATGGGGTAAACCATATGGCGCTACGTTTCTGAATCTTAATGTTTCGGCAATAAATGCCATCACATAATGACATTGCTGTCTGTCCTGATGTCGGGGTAAACGGTCACCGATTTGGCTAATGATCTCATCTCGTAATCTCTTTTGCATCCGTGGATAATACGACAACAATAGTAGTATCCATTGAAATGTTTTTTCCGATGTCTCTATTCCGGCAAAAAACATGTCAAACACAGTCATACCTAGTTTATCATCTGTAAGATAAGGTGCCGACTCTCGGCCCTCCCGGAGCGCATCATCTTTGGCCGCAATAAGTGCATCGCAAAAGTCTCGTTCAACTTCACGATCGTAATCAATGTAATGCTGTTTAAACTTATTATAAATAATATCTCGCATTTCATTGTAAGCATTACTCATTTTGTTGGTCAGCTTATAGTCAATCCATTGCAATGGTTTAATATATTCAGTTAACATTAATCTTAGATTCATTTCTTCAAATATATCTTTCAATACATATTTGAATTTTTTAAACACAATATCATCAAAATTGTAACTAATTTAGATGATAATATTAATATTAATAATAATAATAATAATAATAATATTAATAATAATATTAATAATAATAATAATAATATTAATAATAATAATAATAATATTAATAATAATATTAATAATAATATTAATAATAATAATAATAATATTAATAATAATATTAATAATAATATTAATAATAATATTAATAATAATATTAATAATAATATTAATAATAATATTAATAATAATATTAATAATAATATTAATAATAATATTAATAATAATATTAATAATAATATTAATAATAATATTAATAATAATATTAATAATAATATTAATAATAATATTAATAATAATATTAATAATAATAATAATAATAATAATATTAATAATAATAATAATAATATTAATAATAATATTAATAATAATATTAATAATAATATTAATAATAATATTAATAATAATATTAATAATAATATTAATAATAATAATAATAATAATAATAATAATAATAATAATAATAATAATAATAATAATAATAATAATAATATTAAAACTAATGTTTATTATTTTAATTTATTATTTTTATACCTTTCATTGAAGGCACTGTTGGTCATTATGTTTAGAAAAATTAGATATATATAGTCGACTGGTTTAATAGGTTTGTCCGGACCCTCCCTTTTCAACATTAATTCAACTGTTTTGTCCACACAATCGACGGCTACATTGACTAGACGTTCATTAATTGAATATTTCCTAATATTGTATAGATTTTTATAATATAAGTTAAAATTATGATTATTTTTTTTATTTATAATAATTATTAATTTTATTATAAAAAACAATTGATTTTAATTTATAGACACAAACATTGCTGCCGTATGAGCTACACGTCTAAGTGCTTCCCAACTGTTACCGTAATCATCCATCATTACATCATTAGCCAACAAAGTTGCTATAATAATAATAATAATAAATTTTTATAAATTGTTTAGTTAGGGTTCGGACAAATTCCCTCCCTCGTTTTATTTTCCAAAAGTTTCCTATTATATATTATATAAGTATATAACTATACTTTAACTTTAATGATTTAACTAAAAAATATATATTGAAAATAAGATAATATTATAATTTTATTTTTCTAACATATATTTACATTTTAAACTAAGATAATGCTATAATTATATTTTTATAACACATTTATTTGCAGGTATTTTTTTAATCAAAATAGTTTTTTAATGATATAATAATTACCAAAATATGTTTTCGGTCGTCCGGCAAAATCAGTTTTACTAAACACTTGTCTAGCAATGTCTGCGTCGCTAATCATTACTTGTGGTGTATTACCCATATATACAGTAAAAACTGGTCCATACTTTTCGGACAATTGTCTATAAATGTCATCCCAAAAGGTTTTTGTTTGAAAAGCTATAATTTATCCAAACAAACAAAACTTATCAATATAAAAGTTTTCAAATTAAAAAAATACAATTAAAATATAATCAATTTTACTTAACATATTGCCTATAACTGGCAATGGAAATGGACCGGGAGGCAAACTGTAGTATAAATGATAAAACATTGCCAATTTGTACACCAAATAGCCGATTGTTAAACTTAGTACAAGTGTCCATAAATGTGTTATAATATAAAAACTAATTATTTGCGTCCATAAAAACATATTTACAAAAAGCACTATTTATTACAATTATATTTTGTTGATTTTGTATTTATTGTTTATATATAAGGTTATATATATATATATTTGTAATTTTAAAATTTAAACATATACAGAAAATATTTTTAAAATTTTTGCTACTCAGAATTAGTAATCGATATTTATATTTACGTATTTTATATCAATGATAATGTATGAAATAATAAAATAAAAATTATATTAAAACTAATATAAGTAGTACAGTATAGTATAATAGCAATTAGTTAACAGAGTATTTTGTTATTTATTTAACTAAAATCAATTTTAGTTTTATTGAATTTTGTTGTATAAAAAAAACAATATTTTATTTTTACATAAATATAATGTTTTTATTATCATTGATTTTTTTCAGTTTCATTTTATCAATATATGCTATCATTAGAAAAATCTATAAAGAATATGATCACCAGAGTCGACTGCCTCCCGGTCCCCGAAATTGGCCACTAATTGGAAACGTTTTATCGGTTATGGGCGCCAATTCAAAAACTTTTGTCGATTGGTCCAAAAAGTATGGACCAGTAATTGGGTAAATATTTTTATAATTAAAACTAATCAAATAAATAAAAATTTATTAATACTTATTTTTAATTAATTAATTATGTATTTTTTTGTATATATATATATATATATGAAAAAACAGTATACAAATGGGTTCGTCTCCCACTGTATTACTTAACGATTGGCCGACAATAAAAGATGGCCTCTCTCAGGACACAAATCTTGACCGACCCGTTGATAATATTTTTTCATCAGTTGGTCCAAAGGGTTAGCTTTTTTTGTAATAAAAATTGTTTATTACTGTTATTAACCAGTTTTGACAGATAAATGAATATGTTTATATAATACAATGTATAATATTCGGCCAATTTTTTCATACAAATAAAGTTTAACGGCACCCAGTGTTCTGATATCGAAAACCTTTAGCAACCCTGATATATAAATATTTTATATATTATATAATTTTTAGGATTAAGTTCAATGAACGGACAGGAATATAGAGAACAGAAACGATTTTTATTATATTATTTTAAAATCAAAAGATCGGGAAAGACATCGTTGGAAGACCTGATAGTCAATGAGATTAACCGGTTGTCCGATATAATCGATACGACTACTACTGGTGGTTGTGAAACAAAAATCCGATCCTTGTTTGGCATCAGTTTGTTTAACATTGTCAGCCAATTTGTATTTGACAAACAATTTGATTATACAGAAAAAATGTTGAAACTAATTGACCAATTGGTTAGCGCCAACCCTACACTGGCGTTGAACACTGTTTTTGCACAGTTTCCGATTATTAACAGATTTTTGGTCAAATATTTTAAATTTTTGTTACCAGAGTCAGCCAATGGACGAGCAATGGATGAAATTATTTCTCTAATAAAGTATATGAAAACTTTTAATAATTTAAAATGTAATAAATAATATTTAATATATATATATATTTAAAAAAATAAATCATATTTAGAAATGAAATTAAATCGCACGAGAAAACAGTGGATACAAGTAATGCTCCCAAGGATTATATCGATGCCTTTATTAGTGAATCCCTTAAACACAATAACAGCGATAAAAATTCATTTAATTGTAAAATTTATTGAAATAATTTGAAAAATTGATTTTATTTTTAAAAAAAACTTATATTTAATACTAATAATATAACTGTATTTATACTAATTTTTATTTTTATTCAGATAATAATTTATTGGGCGTTTCATTTGATCTTTACGGCGGTTTAGTTTTATCTGTTTTAAGTGCTATTGAATGGTCGATAGTATTGTTGGCCACATATCCCGATGTTCAGCAAAGAATATACGGAGAGATTGTTTCAATTATAGGTACAACCGATAGACCGGTTTATTCACAAAGAAAACATATGCCTTACGTTCAGGCATTCATGTATGAAGTGCTTAGATTTAGATCAGTCACACCATTGAATTTAACCCGAATGTATGAATTTGATTAATAATTTTTCAAATTTATTATTTAATAACTTAATTTATAGCTAATATATATATATTATTGAATATTATATTTTCTATTCACTAATCCATATAAACAATACTAAAATATTTAACTAATTAAGTAATTTTTAAGCACTATTTAACATTAATTATTTACTGAAAAAAAATTAGTTCAACTGCTGACACTATAATTGGTGGACACTTTGTACCAAAAGGTACCCATATATTAGCCAACTTTTGGTCAATTCAAAACAACCCGAAACTATGGGACGAACCGAACCGTTTTCGACCCGAAAGATTCCTCATAGACGGCGAAACCAATTTTGCTAAACCCGAACATTTTAATCCCTTTTCAATTGGTATTAATAACAGATAAATATACTTAAAATACATTAAATTAATATTAATATTATTAATATTATTATTAGATTAAACAAATAATACTATTTCTAGAAATCATAATATTATAGGCAAGAGATCGTGTCCGGGTGAGGTGTCGGCACTGATTGAAATGTTTTTGTATATTGTTTTGTTGGTTCAAAAATATGAAATCAAATCAACAAAAAATACGGACACAACACTTGATTATGTCTTTCAATTATCAGTCGCTCCTAAACGAGAACCTGTAGTCTGTTTTGTTAAACGTTTCTAAACTAAACAAAATATATTTAATTTGATAATTTTTAAATCTTATAAACTATTTATATAATATTAGTTTTATTGAAAAAAAATAAAATTTCAAAATTATATAAAATAATTACTCAAATAAAATTATTATTAAAAGTTATGTTAAATTTATTCAAATAAAATTATTATTAAAAGTTATGTTAAATTTATTCAAATAATTTTTATACGTAATTAACATTTAATTAATAATATTTATAGTACTGTAAGTAATTTACTTTCTTATTCGCATTAAAACTATTATTTATTGCAAAAAAATAATATTACTTTAAGATTTATATACAAAATAATTTTTGAAAAATACTAATATATTATAATATACTGTATTTATATTTATAATATAATGATTTTATTTTTTAAAAAAAACTATACGTATTCATAAGCATATAAATGTTGTTTTTTATACTATATATAATATAAAAAAGTTAAATATTAAATAAAATAATTAACAAGGTTAAATTGTTATTTTATTGCCAAAAAAATAACATTACTTTGCAGATTTATTTACAAGAAAATAATTTATAAAAATATTAGTATAATATAGTTATATTATAATGATTTTTTAAAAACACTAAATGTATTCACTAGAATATAGCTATTGTATTTTATAATTATATATAAAAATTAAAATAAATAACAAAATAAAATTGTTATTTTATTGCCAAAAAAAATAACATTACTTTGCTGATTTATCTTCAACAGAATAATTTAGAAAAATACTAATATAATATATTTATAATTATATATAATATAAAATAATTAATTAAATTCATTAAAATCTTAAATAAAATAATTAACAAGGTTAAACTGTTATTTTATTGCTAAAAAACATAACATTACTTTGCAGATTTATCTACAAGAAAATAATTTATAAAAATACTAGTATAATATAGTTATATTATAATGATTTTTTAAAAACACTACACGTATTCACTAGCATATAGCTATTGTATTTTATAATTATATAGTTAATTAAATTTATTAAAATATTAAATAAAATAATTAACAAAGTTAAACTGTTATTTTATTGCGAAAAAATAACATTACTTTGCAGATTTATCTACAACAGAATAATTTTGAACTACACGTATTCACTATCATATAACTGTTTTAATTTATACAAAAATTCTACATAATATACATAGAAAAATAAGTTTTTAAAAATATACAATAAAAATATCTATTGATTTATACATTTAAAATATAATAAACTTTATATTAAACTAAAATATGAATCAAATTATACCCGAAGATTACGTTACATTGACACACATTTATAGTACTTTAAGTAATTTACTTTTTCATTATATTATAATCTACTGTATTTAAATTTATAATATAATGATTTAAAAAAAACTATAGTATTCATAAGCATATAAATGTTGTATTTTATAGTATATATAATATAAAAAAAGTTAATTAAATTATTTAAAATATAAATAAAATAAATAACAAGATTAAATTGTTATTTTATTGCAAAAAAAATAACCATACTTTGCAGATTTATCTACAAGAAAATAGTTTATAAAAATACTAGTATAATATATTTATATTATAATGATTTTTTAAAAACACTACACGTATTCACTAGCATATAGCTATTGCATTTTATAATTATATATAAATAATAAAATAATTAACAAGGTTGAATTGTTATTTTATTGCTAAAAAATAATATTACTTTGAAGATTTATCTACAACAGTATAATTTTGAACTACACGTATTCACTATCATATAACTGTTTTAATTTATACTTATACATAATATATGATATATATAAAAAAATAAGTTATTTAAAATATTTAATAAAAAAATATTTAATAAAAAAATATTTATTGATTTATACATTTAAAATGAATGGATGGACGGGTGGATCTTGTATTTACCAGTTTTATGCTACACTATTGTAGTCGGGATAAGCGGCAAGTAATGGCCATATTTAGACAATTATTGAAATCGGATGGACTATTCTATGGCAATATATTGATTAATCAGGATTTGAATAGAAAATTATTAGGCAAAGGCAAGGAAAGGGATCCAAACCAACAATGGTATCCATCACTGGACAAACAGACTGAAGATTGGCTAAAAAGTTTAACAGATAATGGATTTATGATAGAAAAGTCAAAACTAATTGAATTGAATGTCGGGATGAATCGCAAACAGATTATAGGTATTAAAATCTATTTATTTTATTAGTATTTAAATTAATTAATTAATAATTTTGTTTTTTTGTTGAAAATTTTTTAATTAAAACAACAACAAAATCAATAGACTTTATGCCAGTAGTGGTTGACTGTTATCGTTGCTATTTCCCGGACAGCCAACAGTTTGACGCCGAAGTTGGCGACCACTTGTGGGACACTGTGTTTGACGCCTTTTTTAGTCCACCCGATGCTGAGCCCAATCCTAGCGCGTGGACTAAATTTTTGGCCGACAATACTATTACAGAATTGCATTACTATTTTCACTGTTTACGAGTTATAGCCACAAAAAAATAATTAACTAATTTTTTTGTACAATTTATTTAATTAAATAAAATTATTATATAATATATTTTATAAGTTATATACTATATATATAATACATAAAGTAAACAATATATAATACAATATGTAATTTGAAAACAAAACAATACTGCTGTAGTTTTTTTTTATAAAAATATTTATTACTAAATAGTTAATATTATTAATAAATTATTTATGACTTATATTAGTATAAATTAGAAAATATACAGAAAATTTAATCAATTTTTTTTAAAAAAAAAGTTATTTTTAAACTTGACATTATAGTATGAATGTATAGTATATTGCTGTTTACATTTAAACTATAAACCTTAATAATCTTATCAATGTTAAAAAATCTAGACAATGACAAACCTATTTTTTTTTTAATTAAAATACAAGTATAACTAAAATTATTTGTTAATAGTTTAAAGAGTTTGACGTCTTTAATAACGTCTTTAATGATTATTAAAATAAAACTTAAAAAATTATTAGGAAATTTAATTTATTAAAAATTATTACTAAAAATACTGATGTAGTAATGTTAAAATATGATTCTGAAATGACTTACGTATATCTGAATTCTATATTTTTTGTCCAACTGTCCGTTTGTCCGCATTTCAATGTATTTTGAAATTATCACTTCATATTTGAAGTAATCATCTAAGGCGTGGTTCACATATTACGTTCGCACTTTTTAAGAAATCTAGACCCCTCCCTCCCCTATGTTCGCAATTGTTCGCATATAGTCATTTAAAAAATTACGTTCGCTTATCCCTAACTGCTACCTCCCCCCCCCCACCACAAGAAATAAGATATTATCTAAATGCGAACGTTCTTAAAGTCTCTACCCCTCTCCTCCCCCTCGTTCGCAAAAGTTGGCTACCCCCCTCCCCTCAAGTGCGGACGTAATATGTGAACAACGCCTAAAATAAAATATAAAAGATTAGCATTAAAATATTGATGTCTCTCGTGTCAACTTCAAACAAGTTGATCCAGAGATCGGCTCTTATGTGACGATTTTGTGACCATTAAATTCTTCCGTCGTTTGATTGATTTGTTCCGTCGTTAATATTAGTTTAACTGTTTGTGTCGTCATTGTGGGCGTATTTTCGGTTACTACCGGTGCTCGCAATCAATGTAAAATAATTTATTATGTTTTTTTTTTAATAAAACTTATTAATATAAAACACGTGTAAAATAATCATAAATAACAATAAATGATACCTCGCATGACTACAGTTGAATTTATTTTTTAAACTGAATCATTTGATTTTAATTTAATTTTTAATTCAGATTAGGATTAAGTTTGGAAATGCTTTGTAGCATTCTCAATTTTATAATAAATTCTATATATATATATTTGAATTTACAATGTAAGATATAACAAATATTAACAGTCAGTTTTATTAACAAAAAAAACTTTATGTATAAATTATATATAATATTAATAAAACTATACTATTAAATAATGTCTGTTAGTTTTAATGAACACTTGTATTTTAATAAGTAAGTAAAGTAATTGACATTGGTCAAATTAATTATAATCAATAATCAATATTATTAACTTTAATAATAGCAATACAAACGAATCGTTTGTATTAATTTGTTTTAAACAACAATCGGAAAAATTTTGGTCAATGTTTGACAATATTGTTGATAAAGTGTTGAAAAACATTATGACAACCAATGATGAGACAGTGGCTGAACAGATGAAACCACATTTGCAACAAATCATAGGCTATTATAAGGGATCAAAAACTTTGAATCCGTTTGGTTTCGGACCAGTAATGACCTATAGTTTACTTACGGGACATATGCCCAGTGATCCACTGTTTGATACAAATGTCTATGCATTGGGTTGGGTGGGCATAATGTTGTCCAACTATTATTTCCTGTTGGACGATATTATGGATAACTCAACTAATAGATTGGGCAAACAGTGTTGGCATACATTGGTAAGTATATTATTAGTGTTGAACAATAACTAATGAATGATATACTAAATTATTTTATTTTTTTTATATTATTGGTTGTAATCAGCCATCAGTAGGTTTATCGGCACTAAACGACAGTACACTGTTGTTATCAGTTATCCATAAAATTATCCGACTTTACTATGAAAGTCATCCATACTATGTAAATATGGTTAAACTAATGACCCAGGTAAATTAATTGACAATTTATATATCAAATTGTTATTAATTTATAATATAATACAAGTTTTAATATTTATATATACATAATATAGCTACTTGGTAATATATCATTAGGACAACAATTGGATATGATATACTCACAAATGCCTCAATCAAACAATTTTAAATATTTTACAATCAAAGGTTATGTTAATAAAAATAAATATAAAAATGCATATTTTGGATTACTTATGCAATTCAAATTTGGTTTGTTTTTATTTTTTTTATTATTAATATATTAATATATTATATCTATTTATATATAAAGTATAACATAACTCATAACTATCGATAGGATTGTACGCTTCGGGTCGGGATTGTATTGAACACCAAGAAATAGTTGAAGAAAAGTTAATACTGTTGGGTGTATTGGATGGCGCTATCAATGATTATGAAGACCTGAACAAAGAGGGCGGAACTGATATACAAGAGGGTAAGTTCAGTTGGCTAGTGGTCAGGGCATTGGAATTGGCAGATGATAGACAACGGGCTATAATTGTCGATAACTATGGCCGAGTAGATGACCAGTGTGTCCAACAAATCAGACAATTGTATAATGAATTGAATTTGAAACACGAGTTTCTTGTCTATGCTAACCAAGTGTTTGATGATATTCACAAATTTTGTTTGGATTTTAACGACAATTTGGTCACAAAATTGTTGACCAATTTTGCCGATTTGGTCAAACAATATCTCAATTATGCGGTAAAAGATGATTCTGTCTTTATATAGTTAATTCGTTAATTATTTTATTTATAATTTTAATTTTAATAATAACAACAATTTATTATAATTAATGTTTTATTTTTCAAAAAATTACAATAAAAAGTAATAAATAATTTGAAGCTTATTTAATTATTTAAAAATTAATTATATATATTTTTTACTTACTATTACATTACTTAATTTTTTACTTTTTAGTTATATATTTTTTATCTATTTTTTTAATTTTTGAAACTACGTTTAATGTCAGTGTAGGGTTTGCAGCGATCAATTTGTCAATTATTTCATCATTTTTTTATTATAATTAAATTGTTTGCAAATAACAAATTGTCTGACAATGTTACACAAACTGATGCCAAACAAGCATCAGATTTGTTGTTAAGATAATTGTGTAATTTTTTTTTTAATTTTAATTGATACTATAATTATAATTTAGTAAATGTTATTATGTTTTTAAAACTTATATTGAATCTAATTATTGATTAAAATAATACATTATATTGTTCATTTAAAGTCAATTAATTTGATTTTAAATTAAAAAAAGTTTTTATAGATAAAAAGTTTTTATTTTATTTTGTAATCAATTTTTTTTTAAAAATACTGTTTTTATGTATAGTTCCTATGATGTGATTGTAGACATTGTCTGCGATGAGGGCATTGTTACAAAAATATGATTACCTTGCAGATTTATCTAAAACATAATACTTTATAAAAAATAATTATATATTATATGTTTTATTTACTAGGTATAATATAATTATTTTTATAAAACACTACACGTATGCACTATCATATAACTGTGGTTTTTTATTAACTATATATAATATAAAATAGTTATAGAAAAAATTACATAGAATATTAAATAAAATAAATAACAAAATAAAATTGTTATTGTATTGACAAATAAAATAACATTACATTACAGATTTACATTACATTTACATTACATAATTAGGATTTAATAATTAATATAATAATGATTTTTGAAAAAAGGTTAAACTTAGTCACTTATAACTCTTGCAATTTATACTTAAATATAATATATAACAAAAAATTAATAAATTAAATTATTTAAAAATTAATAAATTAAATTATTTAAAAATTAATAAATTAAATTATTTAAAAATTAATAAATTAAATTATTTAAAAATTAATAAATTAAATTATTTAAAAATTAATAAATTAAATTATTTAAAAGTTTTACAACAACAACAACAAAAACTTTATATATTAATTTATAATATCAATAAAACTATACTATTGAATAATGTCTGTTAGTTTTAAGGAACAATTGTATTTTAATAAGTAAGTAAAGTATAATTGCCTGGATCAAAATTGATTATAATTAATATCAATAATAAATATTAGTATCTTTATTAATAGCAATACAAACGAATCGTTTGTATTAATTTGTTTCAAACAACAATCGGAAAAATTTTGGTCAATGTTTGACAAAATTGTTGATAAAGTGTTGGAAAACATTATGAACACCAATGATGAGACAGTGGCTGAACAGATGAAACCACATTTGCAACAAATCATAGGCTATTATAAGGGATCAAACACTTTGAATCCGTTTGGTTTCGGACCAGTAATGACCTATAGTTTGCTTACGGGACATATGCCCAGTGATCCACTGTTTGATACAAATGTCTATGCATTGGGTTGGGTGGGCATAATGTTGTCCAACTATTATTTCCTGTTGGACGACATTATGGATAACTCAACTAATAGATTGGGCAAACAGTGTTGGCATACATTGGTAAGTATACTATTAGTGTTGAACAATAACTAATGAATGATATACTAAATTATTTTTTTTATATTATTGGTTGTAATAAGTCATCGGTAGGTTTATCGGCACTAAACGACAGTACACTGTTGTTATCAGTTATCCATAAAATTATCCGACTTTACTATGAAAGTCATCCATACTATGTAAACATGATTGAACTAATGACCCAGGTAACTTATTAATGAATCTAGAATATATTAATTATTAATATACAGTGTAATTCAAATGTGGTTATATATTATTATGTATAAATAGCTACTTGGTAATATATCATTTGGCCAACAATTGGATATGATATATACAAAAATGCCTCAATCAGACAATTTTAAATATTTTACAATCAAAGGTTATGTTAATAAAAATAAATATAAAAATGCATATTTTGGATTACTTATGCAATTCAAATTTGGTTTGTTTTTATTTTTTAATATTAATATATTGTATCTATTTATATATAAAGTATAACATAACCCATAAATATCGATAGGATTGTACGCTTCGGGACGGGATTGTATTGAACACCAAAAAATAGTTGAAGAAAAGTTAATACTATTGGGTGTATTGGATGGCGCTATCAATGATTATGAAGACCTGAACAAAGAGGGCGGAACTGATATACAAGAGGGTAAGTTCAGTTGGTTAGTGGTCAGGGCATTGGAATTGGCAGATGATAGACAACGGGCTATAATTGTCGATAACTATGGCCGAGTAGATGACCAGTGTGTCCAACAAATCAGACAATTGTATAATGAATTGAATTTGAAACACGAGTTTCTTGTCTATGCTAACCAAGTGTTTGATGATATTCACAAATTTTGTTTGGATTTTAACGACAATTTGGTCACAAAATTGTTGACCAATTTTGCCGATTTGGTCAAACAATATCTCAGTTTTGCGGTTAAAGAAGATTCTGTCTTTATCTAATTAAATGAGTTAATTATTTTGTTTTAATTATACTATTAATAATAACAACAATTTATTATAAAATTTATTTTATTTTATGTAATCAATTTTAATTTGCTAATTAAATTATAATACTAATTAAGTATTTTTCAAAATTTAATATAATAATTTTGTTATCAATAAATTTATTTAATATAATTAATTGTATTGATTTGTGTCTATTGTTAGTAAATCATAATTATGTCATACAATTATATTCACATTTTCTAGTATCCAATATTAATACATATTATTTAAAAAACAATTGTTTTTATTTTAATTTTAATTTGTTTAGATTATGAAATTTTTTTCAATAACTGTATTGAGTTTATTTGTCAGTTATTTGGCTTTTATTATGTTTGAGATACTAATTGCTAAAATTGAAAATATTATTAAAAATATATAATAAATTGATGTGTTTTAAACGATTTTTTTTAAATTTAAGACAAAACTTAAACAATAATAATTATAATATTTGTTTTGTTATTAAAGTTTATTTATTTTATGTGTTTATAAAATAGTTTATTAAAAAATTATTTTAATTTCTAAAGTCATTATTGATAACGATGTGTAAAACAAATTTTTCATAATTGGTTGATATTTTATACAAAATAATCTTATAATATATCTTATAAATATTGTACTAATATATTTACCCTGGGTAAATAAAAATAATGTTATATAATTAATATAATTTAGTATTCTTGTTTTTGTTTATTTGTTTTTTTTCATGAAAACTATAATATTTATAAGTAAAAAAAATATGTCAAATTTTCAGTAGTAAACAAAATAAAATATTAATTAATAAAAATTCATTAATATTAATTATATATATTCAATAAGTGACCTTGTAACTTTATACAAATATAGACAATATTATTTTTGACATTTTTTTTATTATTATAATTATTACTTTATATTCACTTAAGTTTAGTTTATAATATGTATATTAAGTAAAGTAGATAAATAAATAAATAAATAAATATAAATATAAATTCATAATTACTTGATTATAATTAGTAGTTATACTGTATATACTGTTGCCCAATATAATTAAAGCATAACATTATTATTATTGTAATATTGATTAACAGAAATAATAATAATATTATACTAAAATTTATATACTGTATAATATAATCATAATAATTAAATATAATACAATATTTTTTTTAAAAAATGAATAATTAATTTATTATTATTATAAAAATAAATATAATAATTAAAGATATTTTTTATTTATAAATATATTTTTGAAACTTTTCAATAGTAATTTTATTTGTTAATAAAATATTATTAAACAAATACAATTACGATATAATAAATAAATATATATATATAGAAAATTTAAATTTTTTATTTAAAATATGTATAATAATATTATTGATGTTAGAAAAAAATTGCCGCCAAATATTGCCTACAAATCGGCAGCATTTCATTTATATCGTATCGGATTGAATCCGGAAATTATTGATGAAAATACTAGTTATCGACAAATTATTCAAAGAAAATGGTTTAATAAACCAATTATTCAATTTATAATATTTATTATCTATTTATTTGAACGTATAATCTGTTTGCTGACTGACAACAAAAGTTGGCAATTTTATGCACTATTAGGTGATTGGAGTTATTTTATGGGTATTAAAACCGGTAGTAATATATTTCTAATATTAATATCATTGTTGGCATTGGCATCGCAATTGACTTTCATCTATAATTATATTAATAATATAAAACCTAGATTTTTGGATGTATTCAAAATGATATCCGGTTTGATAGCACCCGCCAGTATAGGACTGACCGATCGGTTGGCTATTACCAGACTAGTCAAACAAATGAGATTTATGTGTCGGTTGTGTCGATTGAATACTGAACTAATCATTCAGTTGATGGCAATTATGACAACAATGTTACCATTTATAATGAAACTATCGCTACTAACCGATGCCTTTATCTATGGTATACCTAATTCAATGTTTTTTATGCTATGGACCTATTACTGGTGGAATAGTATATCATTTCAATTGCTTTATTTTATTATACTATGCAAATATTTGAAATTAAAACTAAATAAATTATATAAACAATTATTAATTAATAATAATAATAATAGACGACATCATAGAAAAATACTAAACTATATGTCTATTATCAGTGAATTTAATAAATTGTTTGCCGAAATTAATGACTATAATATAACTTTTTGGTCAAAAATATTATTATATTTTTGGCTAATTTTAGGTTTGGCTGACGTTGTCTTTCTATATAATATATTATTTATATCAATTGATATCATATCAAAAATTATCT